CAACAACAGTTTAAATGCAGAGTATTATGAACTTTTGTATACCTGCCTCTTGTGTCATCTACGCAGAGGATATGAGGTAGGGTCTAATCCTATCAGACTGAAACTTCTCCATTTCCATTTTCCCCCAGCAGCCAGCCTATGAGCTACAGTGGGAGCAAAAGTAGGCCTGGAATGTATGACAGTATTCCTGGCTGACAGAATTACATGACTGAAGGCAGGAAGATACAGGCAGCCAATCACATATTTTGCCATGTACGGAATGTTGAGGAAAAGATAAGTCTAAGGGTGGACATGGCTGGAGTTATATTCAGGGATAGAGTGGTAACGTTGGATGGTATTCTGGATAATTGTACATTTTATTATCATTTATAAATGGATCAAACACTGAGAGATTTAAATAATATCTTTATGTTACTACCTTTCACAGCTGCTTAGAATATTCTTAAGAAGAAAGTGATGGATGGATGGATGGATGGATGGATGGATTGATTGATTGATTTTATTCTATCTCTATGCTATCCTATAACCTGAGGGTTCTCTGGGTGGCTTCCAAATGCTGAAACATAAAAACACAATCGATAAAATGGGCATAACAGATAAAAACAGTAAAATTGGTAAACAGTAAAAATTGGTAAACAGTAAAAGACAGTAAAATCTCACATAATAAAAATAATCTAAAATCATACACAACATGACCAAATACAACCAATAGGTTAACAGCGAAAAGTAAATAAATAATGAATAACAAACTAACCAACAGCTTGTTAGAACAAAAAAGTTTTTACCTGGTGTCTAAAGGAAAGCAAAGTCAACACCAGCTGTATGTCCCTGGGGAGCAAATTCCAGAGTCTGGACACCACTGCAGAAAATGCCTCCCTTCTAGCCCTTTCCCTCTTGATCTCACTGGGGACAATATTTGGAGGAGGACTTCAGAAGAGGATCCAAGTGGGCGGGTAGGAATATATGGAGAGAGACACCTCCTCTGGAAACCTAGTCCTTTAGGGCTTTAACATGTCCGAGAAAACACTCTAAATTGGGCCTGGACTGGAACATAAATATCATGATTTAATTATGTGGGAAGACAGCACATCTTCAAAAATTCTTCAGTGTGCTGTTTGTGGAAAGGATGAGGACCCATTACATCATCTGTAACAGTGAGTAGCATGTTAGATATGACTTCATACAATGTAGCACTTATTTCAATAAATCATAGCTTATGCAAATAAGAAGTTGCATATTTTGATCCAATTCCATAGGGAGCACAATTAACCAATTCTTCACCACTCTCATTCTAGCTTTATCCTGGGACCAATCTGTGACAAGGTTAACCAGAGGGTCAGTCCTCACTGGCATTGTTTACATGTACCAACAGCAAATATAGGTCAATTATGGTATGTTAATTAACCCATGATTTGCTGGGTTTTGTGCCACATCCATGCCACTTCCACTTTGCGTTAACTAATTTTTGATAGGCCTGATTAGAGGTTTTTGCATGACCTGAGCACTCAGACACTATGGGTTGTTTGTGGGTTAAAAAACCCAAAGAACTAATCACGTGCACATGACCTGACATTCATGGGTTATTTAAATGATATAGACATGATTTGCAACTGTTACGTGTGAACCAAGAAATCTGCTATGAAAACTGAGATGTACAATTATAAGGTAGTTCAAGATATATACTATTATAAGTCTGCAGAAAATGACTCATAGCTCACGCAGTTACATTTTGTTTGTCTGCAATTGCTGGGGCTTGTTGGATATTCAACTCTGATCAAGCAATTAATTTTTAAGGAGACTTGCAGTAATAGTCTGTTTGGAATCCATTTGGAATACTGGCAGTTTTAGGTCTTTCTTCTAGCTAAGCATAGAATGGTGCCCTAAGTCTATTTAAGACTTGGATGCTTACAAGCATCCAGTGCCAAACAGAAAGTGCAATGAAGGCAATCTCTGCTTCTCTATACTCCCCACTCTGCATTTTAGCTAGAGGGGTTTTCAGCCATCTAGCTGAGGTGTTGTGGAAGGGAAGGGAAGGGAAGGGAAGGTGGCTGGAGCACTATCAAGATGCAGTGATACCCTAGTCTCTTCCCCTGGCCCCAGAATGCCCCCTTTATTCCCTCTGAGGTTGATATGATGAACCCAGCAAGGCAGTCCTGCTGTTCTTTCCAGGCTAGCTGCAAGAGGAAGAAGTGAGATTTGAGTGTGGATTCCCAGCTCTGAACTTAGAGCTGTGCCTTCAGTCTTGGGAATCCCAATCATCCTAAGTTCCCCCTTCCTCCAAATGATGTTTAGGAGCCATAAGTTAGCTCTTTTAGAATATTTAACAAGCATGCTGAGGATTGCTTGGAATTGTAGGATGTTTTTATCTCCAAACATGCAGCAATTACACCCTTATTGTCCTTTTGGTATTAAGTGTTTAGGCAACACTATCCATGAAGGGAAGACCAATATGAGATGAACAGAATCCATAAAGGAAGTCACAGTCTTGAAAAAGAGTCAAATGAAGCTGTTATGGACAGGACATTTCAAAGGACTTTCATTCAGAGGGTCACAAGTCAGCGATTACTTGATGGCACATAACAACAACATGTAGCACTGTGTTCAGTGTAGCATACTCCTAGATAAGTATACATAGAAATGTAACCTCAGCAACTCAAAATAATAATGTGCAGAATCAAAATCATATATTTTAATTTTTAAAAATAATAAACATTTGCATGGCACAATACAACATTAATTTATGTGTAAACTTACTTTAATATACCACACATGTTTTGGAACTTTTAGGACAAAAAAAATAATTTTCAGAAGAAAATGCTATTAGGGAAGAATGATACATCATTTCCAACATCCAAGATAAATGTTACATAAAAGCAACTGTAACATTTAGTAAAAGTAGTTGGATTACAACTTTTGCATTAAATTATATTGTAAACATTTATTGGCTTGATTTTTTTCAGTCACTCATGGGAGACAAGATTAGACTTGAGGCTATTTGTTCAAAAACTGTATAGACCAATTTCACTGACAATGCATTTTTCCTACTGCTTTGTCTTCTAAATAATTATCCCTGGGAGGCTTTGAAATATTTTTTATGTTTATATTAAACATACATTTTATAATAGAGGCAGCTATAGTCACTTACATACAGTAACTGAAATATAAGCATGCACTGCCAATTGGTATTCACCATTCTTTTCACTACAGTCACGTCATTTGTCTTCTTTTGTCGTACTTTGACTTCATGTGGGTACATTCAGTAACTTCTTTACAGCAGCATATGATAAAAGAGCAGTGTTCCTGCAGTTGCATTCCAGCTGGCATATTTATTGTGCAAGTTTCCAGTAATTTACCACATTCTTTCTTAGATCTAATGATAGGAAGAGGAAGTGATGATTAATAGCTTACTTGTCCGCTTGTTTGATATGGAAATGACATTTTAGCATGACACCATAGAAACCTATACTGACTGTAAGCTAATTTGTCAGTTAATCATTTAACCAGTGTCATCTAAGGAATATTTCTGGATTTTGTTTCAAGAAAACTGTGTTAGTTTAGAAGTAACATAATTCTCTATTGTGTATTCCAAGACACTCAGACCTGTAATGGTAGTAATGTAATATTCTCTCAAAGGGTAGAATTCTTTTAATAGGATAGCATCAAAATAGATTATGTCCCTCCTGGTATATGGACTGATGGTTCAGAAACAAAGTAAATGTCATCCTTACTGCTGTAAATACAGTCACCCAGGCAGAAATGGGTGACATCCTGAGCCTGGCCCCAACATGGTGATAACAGACACTGCCAGAAACAGCACGTCCTCAAGAACAAAAGTCATGTTGTCCAGGACAGAGCATGAAATCCAACCCCTCTGTCACCCCACTGCCGTTTGCCACCACCCACTCAAGGAAACATCCAATGAAGTTAGGAGTGGGAGGGGTTTCTGATTTCTCTGGGAAAGAGACTAATGTTTAGGTTGTGCCTTCCAAGTAAATTCCCATAGTAGTGTTGCCACCTCAGGTCAAAATCTTTAACTTCTAGTTGTAACTAGTAATGATTAATCATAGTTCTCTTATTCTGAAGAATAGGGAAATTCTTGAATTGTGCTGTCTGTCATGGGATAAGCCACTGTTTTGGTCCTTTTCCTGGTGGGAATCCTACGCCTTTAAGCAACTGCGTTCAAGCAGAAATATAAGATGAGGTGTTTCTAAGCTTAAAAATGAATGCTACCTATTGAATTTCTGTCTGTCATGCAGTTGTTAAAAGTACTTGCAGCCTGACAGAACAAAAAGGTGATGCTTCCACAGACCTTTTTAGTAAGTCATTTGAAAAATTGCCTCATATATGCTCCCGAGTCCACGTGGCAGGAGGCTGTGAGAAAAGGACAGCGTTCAGGTGACATCACAGTCAGATCAGTATCCAGGCACTTCCTGGAGCAATTAAAAGTACATACACATAATGAGGAAACCATTTCAAGTGGTGTGTGAGGAGGCTTGTAAAGTTTTTTTCTCCTTGTGCCTTGAACAGGTGTTCAACAGAATAAAATATGTACTCTCCCCATCATTACTTCCACGGGCTTGTGGAGTGGGGGGAATCAGTGGCTGGATTTCTGCTCAGCACACCACTATCAAAGGCAATAATGGGTGTATATGGAAAGAAGTAGGTGATCCTTTCTAAGAGAAAGCCAAGGAACCAAGGCTTCCATATAACCTCAGAGTTGGTTTCCAGAATTTAAAAATCTGAATTCAACTATCATTTAACATCAGACCATGCTTTTGACCATAGTTTGGATACACTTTTAGAAATAGTGCTAGTTTTAAAACCTTCCCTTCCCCACCCTGTATCAGAAACTGGAAATAAGAGGAAAGGACACCCTAACCACAGATAATCCTCCAAGAGTCACGTCTAACCTTTGCCGTTGAGAGTTGCACAAGAGAAAAAAGATGTGAGCAACAAATGTGAACTGCTGCTACTCCTAATCTTTTATTTATCCTCTTTAGGAATCTTGATGGCCCTAATTCCATAAAGCTCTCAAGTCCAGGTGATACAGAGGAAGGAACTGAGCCCAAGAAGATCAATTCTCACCACCACCTTCCTGCATCATGCTACTGAATAAGAAAGGGAAAATAAGTGCATATTCTTCAAGAAGCTATTCTTTTTCATCTGCTCCGTTACTTCATCTGCGTGGCAGTGCTGGGCCCACTCTTGCATCACCCAAAGTGAGAGGGAGTGAAGGTTAATGAGTAGGTAGAACAGCCTTCTCCAGCCTGCTGCCCTTCAAAATGTGGTCTAAAACTCCCAATATCTGCCCCAGTGTTGAGATTGTAGACCACATCAGGAGGGCACCAGGTCAAGTACATCCTACCAGCAGGAGAGGACAAGTGACTGATCAGAGGCAGTGGCAACCATCACTTTCCCCATTTTTTGGTGGCCAGAGAAAGAAAGGTTGAGTGATTGTTGGAGGCTGGAGCTGCTCCAAGAAGTTGTTCTTCTGTGGCTCTTTGCCTTGCTTCAAAAGAAAGTGCAAACTGCAGCTATTGCCTGCCTGATCTTTCTGGGCATAGGGTGTGTTTTGTGTGTGTGTTTTCTCCCTTCATCTCGTGTTGTCCCTCTGGATGGAGTGTGTGTGGAGGGGGATGATTGGACCAGGTGACGATTGAGTAGAATAAACCCAATCCTCTCTACCCATGCTTAGCAATGAGGGGATGAGTAAGGAGTTCTCCTTCAAGTGCTGCCTCCACAGAACATCTTGCCACCCCAGGCAGAACAAGAAAGGCCACTAGCCCTCACTGATGTTCTTGTAACCCAGATTTATTTTGGCACCTGGAACAGAAAATCCTGGAAGCACCTATCCTGCTCCCTTGCGTTTAAAATTACAGTAATAAAGAGCTAAACACTCATAGGATCGCCCGTTAATTTCCCTTACATAATACCCCGAAATCAGGTAGCTGCGTCTTTTTGCCTAATGGCAGGGCCATACCAGCCTGGATGTCCCAAAGCAGGCTGCCAAGATAGAGGAAATTCTAGGGAAACCCCGTCCTCACTGTCGAGAAAGGAAGGCTGAGCCATTGTGTTTGTGTGGAATTGATTTTGCAGTCTTTTTCCCCTCCCTCAGCAGCAAGAATGGTTTCTCCTGACTTGTCTTGAAGGACATCCTCGGCGCCCAGCCCCTTCGAAGAACAAACGTCCCCCCCCCGCCCCGTCTCCCCGCGCTCAACCAGTCCTCCCTCCTCCCGCCCCGCCTCTTCTCGTCCCCTTCAGCCTTGCCTCTTTTGCCTTGCTCCAAGGGCCGGAAGTGCACACAGGCGTTAGCAACAGCCAGCCCAGAGCCCAGAGCGAAAGAGGCGGGGAAGAAGAAGGAGAAAGAGCAGACGGGCGCTTGGGCTTCCAGCTCGGCTGTAACTTTCTCCGCCGCGAGTAGGACGGAAAATGGCTGCAGCGGCGGCGGCTGGTTCTTTGCGATGGAGGCGCGCTGAGGTGAGGGGCAGGGGCGGGCAGCCGACGAGGAGGCTGCACGGGTGCGCGTCGGAAAGAAAAACCTCCGAGGAGTTTCTGTCTTGGCTGGCAGGGAGCTTCCTCTGGCGGATTGCATCCCGGCGTAAGCGTGGCGCAGCCTCACTGGAGTCTGTTTTGCTTTCCCGTTGCTGAGGCCTCGCTTCCTCTCTGGTTCCCAGCGGCTCGTCCCTTGCTCGGCACCCCGTGCAGTCGTCCCCCTCGGTCTGCCTGTTTTCGTTCTCCACCCGTCTTTCCGCTCTGCATGCTTGGAGCGTTCCCATTGAGCCCCATAGCCTCGGAAGAGGGAAGGAATGAATGAAGGGGCTGTGTTGGTCGGTTTGTGACCCTGGGGGCGCGAAGGCCGACCAATTAAGGTGGCGCCGAGGACGAGCTGCCTGATTATGGCTCCATTCGAGAAAGGAAACAGTTGAGTAGATAAAGAACTGTCCTACTAGCTGAGTTGTCGTAACTAAGGCAGTCGGGGACTTGTGCCCCCCCCCCCGGCCTTGCAGAGCAGGATTTTTGTTTTTTTACATAGAAAAGGCTGACTCAGCCCACTATTTGTTTGATATCGGAAGATAGAAAATAGCGCCATTGCTGAATTTCTGAGACAGGTTTCCATCGCTTTGTTTTGTGTGGGGCCTAAAAATTATGACTGGAGCATCCTTAGTTAGCATAGGCACCCCTTACTCATGGGACTCACTTATGCATAAGCATGCTTCACGGTAGTTGTGAATGCTCCTTGTGTCATTGATGTTTATGTGAGCAAGCCTCAGCAGTAATTACGATAATAACTACTGAGGTGCATAAGATAACGTTTCTGTGCTCAAAGGCCCTTGGGTACCACAGGTGGTCAAGCAACAGCACTTTTGGGAAGTGTTTATACAGCTGGCAAGATTATTATCAGTGTTATTCTATGGACGACATTAATGTTAAAGCAGCACCAGTAGGTTGTATAATGTTCCCATGAGCCTTTACAGGAATTGTCACAGAATTCTTCACATCTGTTTTCATGTGATAGTAGTATTTGTATCTGTGAATGCAAGCTATATGTGTCCATATTTGTTCTTTATAAGGTTTAAAAAGTTTAATGGCACAGATCTTAGTTTACCTGGATGGCTAAACAGCTTGATTTATTTTACTTGTGGGAATTTGTCATAGCTTTAAGAGCTTATTACTTGCATTTAAAAAAAACTGATGCTTGTGATAAGCTTTATTCTTTATGTTGCTTTTCAGATGTGTAGTCACTGAAATATGGGACAACATGTAGTGAACTAAGTACTGCTGCTTACTATTACTAGACTTTTAGTATTGAAGCTGCAGTAAAAGCATATAAAATACATGTTTCTCTTTTATAGCTCTTCTAACACAAACTTCATCAGTTTCTAGAAAGACATAGTCATAGTTTCCAGACTGTAGAATTAAAGAAGATAGATTTGGAAATGGATGAGGGCAAAATTGCTAGATAAAAATTAAACTGCATTGCAGAACGTTCTATCTTAAACGTTTCTTTTCAATGGATTCTTTAGGAAACCTTATCAAAAGGCCTCACAAAACAACAAAGATGTAGTGCGTGAGATGTCTTCTGTGTGTATTTTTCTTTGAAGGAAGGAACTAATAAGAACAGAAATCTACTTATATAGATATAAACTGTATAGCTGTTTAGTGGAACAAAATGCATTTATGACATCTCTATAATCTATATTTTATATCCAATATTCTTTGTATTCCAAATCACTAGTTCCAGACAATATTGCATTGATTTACTAAACAACTGTTACAAAGAAGGAAAATACACTTGATAATTCAGTATAACTGTAAATCGTTAGAAAATATGTTGCCACTGCCATCTGTCCAAAACAAGTTTGGATTGAAGTTTGGTTTCTGCTGAAATTAAGACTTATCTACAAATTCATTTCATGGTGCATTCCCTGCTTCTTGACTTTATATGTCTTGCTGGACATGGAAAAGAGGAAGGGACAAATCAGATACAAGCTTTTATAGTTGCTTTCAGGGAAAATAACAAAAAAAGATTAAAAATTTATCTGGATTTGTTTCTGTGGTTTTGATACTATATATATATATCCCACATACCTTTGTGCGGGATCTTTTTCCTCCAAGGAATTTTGTCTTCCACCCACCACATTCCATTGTCCTTTGTAGCAGGATTTTATGTTATTCAGCATACATTGCCCTTGCATATGTTCTGTCACTTTGTGCTGCAGAGAAAGTCTAATTCACATACAACACTGGCATGTTGAATCCCTCACTTGAACAGTCTGATGTCACATACTGAATCAGATTATTGGTTCATTTACGTTAGCAGATTATCTGCAGAAACTTTCCAGTGTTTCAGAAAGGAGTCGTTCCCAGTCCTGTCTGGATGCGTCAGTGATTAAACCTGGAATTTTCTGCATGCAATAATATTGTTATGTGCCATCAAGTCATCTTCAATTTATGGCAGTCCTGCGAATGAATGCTCTCCAAAATGGCCTGTCCTCCAGAACCCTGCACAGCTTTTCTAAACTCAAGGCTCTAGCTTCCTTTATGGAGACAGTCCATCTCATATTTGGGCTTCTTGTTCTACTTTACCTGGCATTATTGTCTTCTGTGATGAGTCTTTCCTTCCCATGATGAACCCAAAGTCTAGCAGCCTCAATTCGTCATTTTTGCTTCCAGGGCAAGTTCTGTCTTGATTTGATTTAGGTCCCACATGTTTGTCTCTATGTCAGATCAGCCTGTTCGCAAAGGTCTCTTCCAGTACCATATTTTGAATGTTTCCATTTCTTCTTAACAGCTCTCTTCACTGTCCAGCTTTCAGACCCATACATAGTGATCAGCAGTACAGTAGTAGGGATGATCTTCCACTGAAATGTCCTTATGCTTGATGGTCTTTTCTAGTTCCTTCATTGCTGCCCTTCCAAGTCACAATTGTCTTCTAATTTCTTGGCTGTAGTCTCCATTTGAGCTGATTATTAAACCAAGGTATGCAAAATCTTTCACAATTTCAATGTTTTTCTTGTTGACATTAAAGTTGTGTACTTCTTCTGTGGTTATGATTTTTGTTTTCTTACTATCCCGCTGCAGTCCAGCTATTATGCTTTCTTCTTTCAATTTCATTAGGAGCTGTTTCAGTTCTTTGCTGTTTTCTGCCAATAATACGGTATCATCTGCATATTTTAAAGTATTGATGTATCTTTCACTTCTTTTTACTTCTTCCTCTGATCCTAATCCAGCTTTTCTTATGTTGTGTTTTACTTACAGATTGAAGAGATAGGGAGATAAAATACTATTTGTCTGATGCTTTTCTCTATAGGAAACTATCCTGGTCCCCATACTCTATTCTAAAGTAGCTTCTTGTTCATAATACAAGTTATGTATCAGGATAATCAAGTGTTAAGGCACATCCATTACTTTCAGGACCATCCATAGTTTCTCATGATCCACACAGTCAATGGTTTTACTGAAGTATATATAGGGTATAGACTCATCTTCTTTTGAAGTTCTTTGATGCACTCTACTATCTGGCCAACACAGATCATGGTGCCTTGAATTTTAGATCTGTTCCTAGGTCTGTTTGACCCACTGATTCCAAAAATGGCACCAATTTTTCCCTATCAGCACTAGTTTTTGAGATACAGTATAAATGCCATATACCACTCTGGTTGCCCATCAAAAATCAGAATATTTTAATTTGGTGTTTTTTTAATCTCCTTATAGCATGAAAGAAACACATTAAAATTAAAAGGAAAGTGAAATGCAATATATTTATTTCAAACCAAAAGCACAGGTTTATGATACAAACATTCCAATCATGCAACACAGAAGAAGCTCCTTTTGTAAGATTTCCAAGACTGGGATCTGCCAGGACAATCCTGCATAAGGTTCCAACAGTAATCCACCATTGTGTGTGCAATCCAACTTCCTTGGTATATTCCTTCCATTGTTTTTATGTCTTGGTGAAATCTGTCATCTTGCTCTTCCCTTAAGTCACCAAGGTTCTCTGGAAAGCAATCTAAGTGACTGTGCAGATAATGGATTTTGACACTCATTTTACAGCCAAGCCCGTTGAAATGAAAGAGCATCTCCTCCGCTATTTGAGTATCTGCAAAATGAAATTATATGAGTGGGGATACACACACACCTATACAATCATTACAGTGAATAAATTAACCTTTAGAATCCCATGTTTCTGATGTAAAATTACAGTTGGAAGTATGTAAACACTCTCACTATATCTGCTAACTTGTACACAAAAACACAAACTAGGTAACAGAAGAACAAGTTGATCACCAAGATTTTTTCAAATACTAAATAAAATCTGTATACATTTGACCATATCTAAGAAACTAGAGCTAATGCAATCTAGCCAGTGCAATTTTCTGAATCAGCAAATAACACCAAGAACAAATCTAAAAAGCAAGGAACCAAGAAAAAAGGGCTTTTGTTTTGTTTTGTTTTTGGTTGGGCTGTGTTATCAATATAATCTTCCTTTACAGAATCAAGCTTCTTGAACATCAGGCATTTCTTGTTCCATATAAGATAATATTCTTCCTTGTAACCTGTTGAACATTGCTTTGTTTACATGGGAAATTAGTGCAATGGTCATATAGTTTCTGCACTCCTTAGCATCTCATTTGTTAGGGATTGGAATGTTTATTGAATGTTTTCAGTTGAGGACCATTGTTTCGTCACTACCACAGTTTGCTCCCAGTCTTGTTTTGTCTGTGAGAATACATCTTCGCCATCTCTTATTTCCAATTGCATAGTATGTTTGATTTCTCTATCGACCCTCTGGGTGCTTTCCATATATACAGTCTTCTGATTGGTTGCCTGAGGTATGTATTTTTAATAAACAGCCAGTTGGCTTCACATAATTTTATGCTCTTGGCTTCTTTGGTGCTCACCATGTTACAGTGTGCATCCAAGAGAGGAACCCCAGTCTATAGTTCCCCCACAAATCTCCTTTAATGTAGATAGCTTCAGAGTTTGATCATTCAGTCTGTCAAGTTATTGACAGACTATATACCATTTAGAGTAGCCAAACTCCTTCATTCATCAACTTAGGTACAAATACAATAAAAACATATTAGAAAAAAACTTAAACATATCTTGGCTAAAAGTGAGATTATCCAAAATATACTAGTAGCAAGCAATACAACTCCTACCCAGACTATGCACAGGTTGAATACAGTTTGCTTAATACATCTGTATCAAATCTCTTGTAATTTTCATATTACTTATCAAGACAAAGACTGTTTAAAAATACATGCTTGTTTCCATAGTAAGATTTCTAAGTACTAAAATGGAGGAAATTTAGACCTGGATCAACAGTGTAGAGTTGAAAGACAGAAATTACAAAATATGCAATAAAGTTTCCACTACAGCTGCATTAGAAGTTTGAAATAATCTTAAATGGCCCTTCACCTGTGCAAGTTGTATATGCAGTCATTTCCTATCAACATTTCATAAAGCCTTATGCTCTGTTTTTAGGGCAAAGATGAGATAAAAATGTAACTAATAATGTGAAATCTTCAGATAAACAGGAAAATTATACAGTTAAGGTATTCCCTCCAAGGTGACCTCTAATGTGAGAAGATACCATTTTTTTGTATACTGAGATTTGCATCCATTTGAAGGGTAATGCACTTTTGAAGTGTTTGTATACTTCAATAATTCCAGAAAATAGTTTTGTTAATAAATTGGACAAGAGAAAATAGTGTATAGTAAATATATATGCAACTGGCATGAGAAACAAGGCTAGTTGTAGAAGACAGTGGTCCAGTTTGTACAGTCACCATGGCTTACAGAAGCCATGGCATACCACCATACCATTTTCCTGATCACCTGCTTGAACATATTTGTGTCATCTGAAGTTGGGTAGCATGGCTTGTTGGAGGGGAGAACAATGCTCAGATAAACCATAAACTGTTGTTGGATGACACAAACATTGGCAGGTGATTAAGCAAATGGTGGCTGAAACTCATGGCTTAAACAAGCCACAGTTTAACCCGTTGTGTAAACCATGTCAATTATTTACAAGTACAACTGCAAGTAATAGATTGGCCCTGGTTCTTCAAGCAGTTGTAAGAAATCCAGAAGCTTGTAATGGTAGATAAATGCAAAAGTAGTGATTTTATGAAAACTTCTAAAATCCATTTTTTTCTTTTTCTCCCTCCAGTGGCACTGAATCTGTCACTATTCTTGAGCCAAAGATTTTCAGGAGAGGGGACTGGAACTGTTAATGGACATCTGCTTTCACGGCATGGCCCAGATATCTAGCAGCAATGAATTCATACAACATTCATCACCATCTTTGGGTACCACAAGGGCAAAAGAAGTGGACAAAGAAGAAGCATTGCAGATGGAAGCTGAGGCTCTGGCTAAGATGCAAAAGGAAAGAGTAGTAGCTGGTAATAAACAAAGCATTGATAATTTGAGTAAGTCCTGGCCAAATGTACAATCCTGCAGAAAACAGGACCAGGATCTTATGGTATTTCCAGAGTCTGATGTCAAGAAAAAGGTGGATAAATTAAATGCAATTGATATAGAGAAACTTACCCATGCCGAGCTAGAGAAACTACTACTAGAAGAAAATTTTGAATCCAGCCAGCCTCCTATTCTACCAGCTACTCCTATTCTGAGCCAATCTTTCTCTTCACAGTTTTATTCTAACAGTACTGTTCAAAGAGGACATTGGCCACCTGGGTTGATTGGACCTTCTACTTGCACTGTACCTTCTGTTTATGCAGTATCCTCTTACAATAAACATGTTGGTATCTTTCAGAATGGCTTCCATCCAGGTATGTCTGCTTACCAGTCTACAAAGCCTATTTATCTTAGTCTTCCAGAAAGGTCCCAGTATATTTCATATGCACTTCCAGCTAGCACAACTTTCCATCCACAAGGAAATTTGCCTATATATCATTCAACACTTACACCTGAAATGGCAAAAGTGTTTGATAAGATAGCAAGCACTTCAGAATTTCAGAAAAATGGGAGATCGACCACAGACTTAGAAATGACTGGTGCTAAAGCTGCAATTAATTTGCCAACCTCTGAAAACTCCAGTGATATTAGTAAATTTGATTGGTTGGATTTGGATCCTTTAAGTAAGCCAAAAGTGGACAATATGGATATATCATATTCTGCAGAAGATGGTGGAAAGGTGAATTGTAGTACAGTTATAGAAGATCCTTGGGAAGCTGTGCTGCTGGAGAAGAAGCCCTCAGGAAAATGCCATCTTGAAAGAAAAGTTAGTGGGAAATTTACTTCTGGGGCAACAGTTACAAGAAGTCAGTCTTTAAACATTCGAACTGTTCAGCTTGCTAAATTACAGGACCAAACACCACAGGTAAAACATTCTGAATATCTGTTTTCACGTGAAGCTGAAATGTGTGTAATTGGCCATACAAATTTGTATTATACAACTCAGATGAAGAATTTAATTATTTCAATTATTTGCAGAAAATTGTGTCAGGACACTACTGAGTGTGTTTTGTACTATTTATTTGTTGCTCAGTATTTTTAGGCACCTTTAAAGGTAGAATGCTTCCAGGACAGGGCATAAGAAAAATGGAACAATTGGTTTTAATTAAACTAACTGGTTTTAATTGATTATAAATAAATAAAACTAGTAATCTAGAAATTAAGAAAGGTCAGCAAAAACTGCAAAACTTGTGTGAAGATGTGCAACCTGCCAAAACACCCAGTGGAAACTTGTTTCAGAGGTGCTGGGCCACTTCTGAAAAGACCATTCCTCATTGGGCTCACCAGGATAACCACCTTTGGCATCAGGCAAGTGAAAAAGACCCCTACTGATGATTTTAGGATCAGATCCTATTTCAGCTTCTATTCTAAGATACTTTAGGCTGTCACAGTTTTGCTGTAATCTTAACTGAAAAAATCATTCAAGGGTTGCTTAATTTAAAAAAAGCTCAGTTCCCTGTTAACTGTTCCACCCAGAAACCTAATACAGTACATTTTCAATTACAAGGGTAACCTATGAGGTAATATGGATTAAAATGTTTGGATAAAATATACCTTCTTGTCAAATATATTGTAGATCCAATGTCAGGCGTATTTCTTTAGGGCAATCATTCCAAAGATGGGGTGCTATCATGGAAAGTACTTGCAGTGGTATCCAAGCATTTGGATTGCTGTATATGATTTTAAGGTGGCATGCTGGAATCATACGCGTAACATTCACTGCTGCTACAGCACTAGTGCCAATGTCATTGTGTTAATATAGCTCCCATGCAATATCATTAAAGCTTGTTGTGCCAGAGGAGAAATGGTGATTCAACAAACTGTACTACCAAAATTGGGCAACTCACTGCTTTTTTCTTGTTGCCTAGCAAGTACTAACAAAGTTGTGCTAGAATTGGTTTTACTAGCAATGCCAATCTTATTACCTGAGTGCTTTTTTGCTATTTCCATGTGAAAGATTTCTAAAGAGTAGAAAAAGGAACAGATGACCTATCCATGCAGTAAGGAGTATCCAACATCATTGTTTTTATACCTGACTTTAATCTCTCCTCCAGAACTGTAGTTAGGAGCTCAAACAGGCCAATACCTTCTCCATGCATTTTCCTTCCCTCTCACCTGCAACCCTTAACATTCTGTGCCTCTTCAAGACCAGTGATCATGCTCTGTCCTCATAAGCCTGCTTCTGGGACCCGAGTATACAGAAACAGCTACTTGTTTGTGAGTTGCTCTAACCCAAACCTCTTGCTGACAGGTTTTCTTTTTTAATTGGGATTCGTGATATCTCTCATAACCTGCTTCATATACTGACATTGGATCTAACATGTATAGCATATTGGGTATATTACTAGGCTATAAAATGATACATTTCATATATTAAGCAGAGAAAAATGGCATAATCCTATTGCCATGCACTCAGGTCCCAGAGCATGGAGGATTGTGGGCATCCATTGCAGAGTGGGAATAGTGGCAGAGGCAATCTTTACTTATTTGTCCTACCACTATGCATTTTCAACTGGACATTTTCACCTCTCCAACTGGACTGTTTCAAAGGAATAGAGAAGGAGTTTGCAATGCCTGCAGGATAGTTTCTCTCTTCTTGCCCTCAAAGTGCACTCTTTTCCCACACTTTTAAAAGTGTAGAGAGCAGGTGTTGCAGTACTTTCCATGCAGGTTGGGAGGGAAGTCATTTCTGCAATTGTCTCTAACCTCAGATGTGAGAATTAGAACCATCCTAGGGCCTCTTGAATGCTGTCTAAAGGACCATAGAATTGTTCCTTAACTTATTATATATTGCTTCTAAATTTGGTGGGAAAGGGAGAGAGGAACAGTGTGCACACCAGCATGAGAAACACTGATGGTTTGTCTATGAAAGAGGAAGCTGTGTGATCTGTCTTGAATCAGGAGGAACTAGATGTCTAGGTTCCTTGTATGAAGAAAACATTGGTGTGGGAATAGAGGATCACAATTCCGTTTCTGCTGAACAAAACAAATTATTGTGATCTAGTATATTTACATCAATTCTCAAAAGAAAAATTCTCATTTTTTTCTCACCTAGTGTAATCTCTTCACAAGTGGTGGGCATAATTACTCTTAATGTGTTTCACTTTTTTTTTTTGGCATGACTACATAAATCTCTGATTCATATATGCCATGAGTTGGTGGTAAATTAAACAATAAGGAATTGGATTTGTCAATTAATGTTTATTCTTTAGGTTAGCTTGATTTCTGGGGCTTTTTTGTTTTTAGTTTCTGTCTGAAACTTCCACAAATGAGCATACTGTAGATAGCTCAATTCATAAGTTATGGCAGTAATCCAACTGCTACATAGTTTTTCCCTATCAAGTTTTTAATCTGATGTTTTTATGTGCAATACTTGTCTTTAACCTTATTGTTCTAAGTTGGCTTGCTAGGGCTTAACCTAAGAGGCAGGATAGAAATAAAAAATGTCAGGTAATCTTTGCTTCTCTTACAAATTTGGGCTTTTTTGGTGCATGAAAAACATTCAAATTTAAAATATTAAGCTTGATGAAATTTGCTCTGAGGCTTATGAAGATGGACATTTAAAGTTCATTATTTTTAAAAAATCTAGTTACAGAGTACAGTTGGACAGATTAATTCAGACAATCTGTCCAAATAATAGTTCAGTCCTGACAATCAAACTGTTGAATTAGCTGTCCATTAAATGTAGTGAATTCTTTGGTAAAAGAGCTGTGACTGTTCAAATTAAATTTATGTCATGTTCATTTGTGAGGTTGAAGCTCTGTGTGGTATCTTCATAAATTAAATCCTTGTTTTACTCTTGATTCAGTTCTAAGGACAATGCGAACATTCAGGTTTTAAATGAGAGATTTATTTTTTCTTGATACTTTTTTTTCAACACAGAAATATTACATTCTTGTAAACTTGGGAGTGGAAAATAATATTTTTAAAAAATCAGTTAAACGAACAGTGAGACACCCATATCCACAGGGGATAGGTTCTAAGCCCCCCAGCAGATGCCTGGAACCAGATATTAGCAAACACTATAACCTGTACAGTCAGCTCTTTACATTTGTGAGGATGAGGGCCACCACAGAAGTGGAAAAACCACAAATATTTCTAGGCCCTCTCCAGATTGCTTCTTCTTCCTCCACCCCTTTCTCTGTCTATGTTAGCTGGGAGCATGACGACTGGAGCAGCAACCAGGAAGGCAATATAATTTTTTATATGTTCCTCATGCTGTTTGTTGAGAGAGACAGGGCTCTCTCAACAAACAGACTCACTCCCTCTCCTTGCAATTTTCTATTTACTTTGTTCAGACTGTGGTCAACCGTGGTTAAGTGAAACCATGGTATCTGAAACAGCTGATAGGGGTTTTACTATGCTACAATGAGCAGTCACATGCATATATTGAGAAATAAGAGTACCATTTTCTTCATTTTTTAAAAATAATACATTTCTGTCACAACTGTGTTTACTTGGAAATAAAATCTGTGAGACTTATTTCAAATTCGGAGTGCTTAGTTCTTATTACTAATCTTAAATTAGTAATAAGATTAGGACTACTGTTTGATTAAGATTTTGGGGAGAGGAAAGTTATATATATAGTTTTTGGGTTTTGGTATTCCTTCATTTTTAAAAAACTTCATTTTTCCTTCATTTGTTCATTCATATTTGCAGAGGTTATTGTAACTTTGTGTATCGCCAAGTTCACATGTGGTGAGGTAGGGGCTAGCTCGTGTGGAGATTGTTTTGGACTCCCTCGGAGAAAATGATCTCCTTGCGAGCAAGCCGGTGCCTCGCCGTGCATGTGTGTGTGTGTGTGTGTCCGTGCGCCCCCCACCCTGCCCCTTGCCCACACTGCCTTGGCGGCCCACGCCCATCACTGGCACCTTTCAATTGGCCCCCTGTTAAAGTTTGAGGACCCCTGCTCTAGACAAAGCATCTTTATTCTGATATATTTCTGTTACATGCTTATACTGCATAGGAAGTAAAGATGGTTGAATGTTCTTGTAATTGCTCTCAAGTGGGAGAGATGGGAGAGATGATAAAAGATGGAAAATGAGGTGGTGAATTCTGGAAGCTCATAGATAGGAGAAACACAGTTTTTCAAAAATATCTGAGATCCTGTCTTCCCTTAACCTTTGTTGCTATTACAGTCCCACCGCCCCCGTCCCATTATTTCTGAACTATCATCTCGATGATTATGATGATGATGCCTAAACCAGGAAGATGTCATTGCTGATGGGTTTCTCTTTGCTGTGTGCCACTTTTTAAGGGACTTGATGGAGAATTCTAGAATTAGAATTTTATCCTCAGGGTGGGGTAAGCAGTCCAAGTAGTCCCTGGGTTATGAATGTCTTAAGTTATGAACTACTTGTACTTATGAATGTGTGGACTGCCATAGACCCTATATGAATATCTCTACAAAAAGCCGTGAATAACTCTAGGGAACTATGCAATGCATTTAGCAAAGCATCATCAGTAGCTGTGTAGTTCCAGACTTCCTAGAGATGCAGCAAAGTTTTCTAGAGATACAGTATTCATGACTTTTAATTCCAGGTATCAGCTCAAGCATACCCAAGCCAGTGTGTTTCAGGGCATGTGTAGGGCCTCAAGGATGCAGCAGAACCATAGCAAAATAGTTTCTGGGAAAGACAGATGAGTTTCCCCTGCTCTGTTGTTGTTGTTGAGCTTGAAATACTGTTTTTATTCATAACTTCCTAAACCATGACGTATCATTTTGTTTTAGCTTTGTTTTGTTGGAACTGTGGCATTTTATTATTCTTATGGTTTATTGTAAATTAGCAGAGCAACTCAAAAATATATTCAAAAAATGAACAGACAGCATACAATACTTGAAAGTGCTCATGTTTGTGATTTTGTTACAGTCTGTGCAAGTATGATAGTGACCTTGCTTCTTTATAAGACACTGATTTGAAAGAGTGTTCTAAACTGTTTTAAGAACAATTTCTTTTACTTGTTTTGTACAGTACTGTATACCTAAACACACATACAGATTCTTTTTCTCTTCAGTGCCTGTACTTTATTATTACAGTATTAAGATCATTATTACATAACTGTGTTGTGTTTAAGATGTTTTAGTGAATATGGAAGTGCTTATTCAGTATTTAAAAGCATACTAAGTGGTTTTTTTGTAAGACAAACATTTGGCTTACTCATGTGATCCAACTTACATATAAATTCTACTTAAGGATGTTCTCAGGAATGGAACTTGTCCATAATCCATGGCCTACCTGTTTACAATAATTCTTCATGGACTGTCAAAAATCACTGAAAGAGGGTTTGAGAAGAGCTGCCTAAAATTCTAAATGCCTCTTATTCTCCTTCTTCCTTCTGAATGCCTTCCAAGATTTATAGATTGTTTGGGTGGGGTGCTACATGACTCTGGTTAAGAATCACCAAGGACTATCTCTATCCCACCTTTTTCATTGCTGTTCCTCGTACTGGGCTTTCATGATTTTCATTAATGGATTAACACAATAGTTATACATAGTCAAAAACTAGCTTCAGTAGATAGCCCTAAGGAAACATTGGTCTTAAAGAAAGCTTTGGATTTGGAAAGCTTGTTTACTAAGCCTTATTTATTACTCACCTGGCTTCCAGTCTTTAAATCTAGTTTAAGGAGAGGGTAGTTGGGAAGCACAATTGAAGGATATGTACCTTAGCTTTGGTTGCTACTGTTCTCAACTTAACTGAAGTGAGCATAAGTGCGAGTTTGCAGGCAAGTGGTTTTGTGTCAATGAGAGAACTGTGGAGCTTCTCCGGCTATGTATGAAATACAGCATAAAGGTTAGGAGTAATTCCCACATTGCTCTCCAGGTTCAGAATTGAGAGGGTGCGCATGACTTTATCCATGTACGCTCTTCTTTGCTCACACATGAGCCATAGCCCTTCTTCTGAGCTTAAATTTGGAGTGAAAGATCATCTGTTCTGTCATATAGCACTTTCAAGGCCTTCGTTGGTCATTATTAGAGCCAAATAAGAAATACTTTCATGTTCTACATGGAAGAATAACACAAAATAAGCAGTTTGTGTTTTGTTCAGTAACATCCTGTGTTAATTCCAGCGCTATCAATCATCATAAAATCTATTTCTGGGGCTAAGCATTTCCAAAAATTTCCCACATGCACTGAATATACATTTGCTGTATTTCAAAGATATATGCAGATTTTGGTGGTTTAGTGTTATATTAACAAGCCTTGGGCTCATGTACTTCATTCCTCATCTCTACTCTGACATGACTATGAGAAGAAAATTGAAAGTATTTGCACCCATTTTCAACTGTAGTTTGTTATGTCTGGGATAAACTGTGCTTGTTTTTACTACAGATTGTCTGAAGATGCCTTTTTCAGACTTGGCTTTTTCAGGAAAACTCTAGTTAAAACACTAGTTAAAAGTGTAGTTCCCTGTTCAGACTTAACAAAAAAATGCAGTTAGCTGAAGATGTGAGCAAATGCTTCTTACCACCTGTTGGCTGCAACAAGGGATGAGAAAGGCGGAGGGAAGCAAACTCCTCCATGTAATGTTAAATAGAGGTTTATCACTGCATCCAAACCAGGGCAGTGCCTCTACCAACAATTGCCTAGAAATGTGACACTTTCTGTGATTTAGATCCAGAAATATCTATGTAAGAAAAAGGCACATGAAGGCTCCTTAATATTTCGAAAGCCATACCAGGCCCAAACTACTTTCCATTATTTGCTATTGAGTAGAAGATGTTTTTCTAAGCATGTGCTGCTGTTAAGAATGTACTTTGGCACTGTCAAATGGGACATTTCCTGCTGTGGCATGATCATGTGACATGTGCTTTAAATCAGAAGCAAATGTGTGATTAAAGTAGCTGGCACAAAAGTGTCACAGGTGGAAGGAACTATGGAGTTAAAGTATCTGTTATTTTCATGTCATTCATATTGCCTTGTATGAGATACTTGACTAATAGCAGCTGTATAAATATTTATTCAGGTCTTTTAACATTATGAATAAAATGTTCCACAGATTTTTGAAAAAAACCTACTTACATCTTGTTTCAGAATTTAGTTTTACGGGGATACCATTGAATTTTGTATCTTGGAAATTAGAAGAAGACATAAAAACTAGGACTATTTTAAGACTGTATAACTAGGATAAGAATCTTGTGTGCTCTGTTTTATTTAGCATAAATTCCAGATTGAAGTCTGTTCCACTTGGTTGAATTTTAAAGATGGATTCAGCACAAAATATCCACTGTGTACTTATTGTTATTTCATTGTGTTAGGTTTGAGATTTCATATTTAGTGGAATAAAGATTGCTTATTTAGTGAGATATCTTAGCAAAGTTAGTGGGAACAGCAATTTTCCCATGGTAAGATGTATAAGGATCTATCCATATTGTGTTTATATGTGATAAATAATAATATGCATGTATTATATCTCAAACATATTATACTTTATGCATATGGTATATAATAGAGAGTAAACAAATGCATCTCCAGATTGGTAGTGAATGACAGTTAATATGCTGCTTCCCATAGTATACAGGAAAACTTTTCAGACACATTAGATGGTGGGAAATTTCTTCAGCAAATTGCATCATTGCCTGTATCATTGTGGTACTACAAAAACCCTGCTTAGAGAATAATTAAGAACAAATCTTCTACTTTTTAACATATGCGGGGGTTTGTTTGCTTTTTTGGCTAATCTAGTAGTAAAGTAAGGATTTACTATTATCTCAAGCCATTTATAGCTCACTTTATAAACTGGAAACAGACTGCATTGTTTGTAGTTACTTGAAGATTTGCCAGAAACAGCGCCATACACCTATCTGTGAGGTACATATGTTTGTAATCAATGCCTTATGTCCAGTATGTTTTATTAGCAGCTCAGCCTCAACATATAAGGCCTTCCTTCCATTGCTGAAGCAATCTGATGTTGCAGTTTTGAGTGAGTTCTCCCATTGAGCTTTACAATTTTGAAATCTTGCTGAAGGAATGGGACTTCTCTGAACACAGCATAGAATAGATACTGCTATTACATTGAAAGGATTACTAAACTTATTGTTAAATACAAAGTGCACATTTTGTGACCATGCTGTTATGAATGCAGGCTGCAGTTTAGTCTCTTCATATTAGAACCCTTTGGAAATAGATTAACCTGGGATTATATGTATGGATGATGATTTGAGAAGAAACAACTGAATAACATTAATTTAGATTTTATAGTAGAACTTAACAATTTAACCTTACTGTTCAAATAATATTACCTTAATTATGTATATATTTGTTCTGAAATTAAAGTCCCTTCAGCTAGACCTATGTCATATGCAGGGTTGGAGAGCATCCATATCTACTTGGAAAGTCCACTTTGTATAATAAAATTGAGTTCACTGTAAAATGCTTATGTGTTGTTATTAAAGCTGAGCTGTTTGCTTAAATCAGTGCAGTGTTGTTATTTGTACAACATATAGTTAAAAACACACTCATTTTCATGAATCTGATTAGATTGCTTATCAGTGTGCTAGCAATCTAAATAGGCTACTATTCTAATTAATTGTTGTTTGTGGAAGATTTATAGGAGTTGCATCTGTCATTGCTTGACTTCTCTATCCTTAAATTTCAGACAGACATTGGGACCAGTAGCCTGCCAACCAGAAATAAACTTCTAAAAAATACTGAAAGACAAAATCAAGAACAAGCAGCATTTTGTGATGCCATTGCAAAGTAAGCAACAGTTGAGTGCATACTAACCCTAAATAATATAGTGGAATGACTAATATATATACACCTTCTAAGGAAAGACATATGACCATTCTTTCTGTTAATTTGTCAAAATATATAATTTGGATATTTTGTTTTATACAACATATGTTATAATATATGCTTTGGCTAAATGCCTAGTCATTGCATATAAATCTGTTTTAGCCATCCTGTTGTGCTTTCAATAGGAGTGGAACCTCTCAGTAAAGTACTGTTGTGTAGCCAGTTGCTGAGAAGGTTGAAAAATTAAAATCTGTATGAAAGACAGGATGGGCCTAACATGGCATTTCTTTCACATGTTGTTTTTTAAGGTTTTCTGACTTTTAAAAGGGCAGACAGTCTGCATACATGTCTGTTCCGGTAAAGCTTCTGTATGTAACTGAGTGCTTGTGTTGAATGGGAAGAGGTCTGATGTGGTGATTTAAGTAGGTTGACTTTTGTTGCCATCTGTAAGGTGTGGGGGGGAATTTTGACTGGGAATCCACCTCTGACCTCTAATATTAGTAGTGGACTGGATTACAGTCTTGCTGCTTTCATACCACAATTCTCCAAGTACAGTGGAGTATAACAGTGAACTACACTGCAGGTTTCTTGTATACTTAGCCCAACTTGCAATAGTGGTCCAATATCTTTGAGGAATAATGGAGGATTGATTTGGAATACTAAGAGCATGACTCATAGTGTTTAATATGAACTCCACAATAACCATTCTTCTTCGTTGTGGCCTCTGTGCATCACACATGTGCGCAAGTCATGTGGGTGCTGCGCCTGCGCAGTGCCTAGGCCGGAAGATTAGAAAGCTATTGGTTTTGGCAGGAAAACTCCCCTCCCCTCCCCCTCAGTGGTATAAATAGGGTGGAGTGTCCGCCATTTTACTTAGTCTTTTCAACCGCCGTTTGCTGTGCCTTGTGCCTGTTTGTCTCTCGCTTAGATCCTCGTGCTCACTGTTCATTTTACACTTTTTATATATCTTGTTTCTATCTTCCTCTTCTACTCCAAGTTTTTCTCTTAACCATTCTTTCTTCAAACCTTTTGTTCCTATTAAAAAACACCCAAAAATATCATCTTACCCTCTGCACTATCTTCTCCTTTGTTTTTGCGATGGCGCAGCGAGCGGCATTCCGCAAATGCATTGAATGCGATTCCAAAATGTCGCCCTCAGATCCACACGACCTATGCCTCCTCTACCTTGGTGAGGAGCATAGAACTGAAAAATGCGGCCACTGCTTGGCATTTACCCAGCAAGCTAGGAAAAATAGGGATAATCGTCTCCACAAACTCCTATGGGACCAGGCCTTGATGCAATCAGACCAATTGGTCTTAAGGCCTGGCTCCTCTTCGGCTGCACCCTCTCAGCGCTCCGCCTCTACCACTGGTGCACCTGTGAAGCGCCCTGCTCCGGCTTCTGCTGCTCCTCCACAGTGTCCTTCAAACGAAGGCGCCACCTCTATGGAGGCCCAGCAGCTACCTTCTCCTCCAGCCAAAAAACGGGAGAAGTGTAAGCATACCAGCTCAGACAAGCCCTCAATACACAAGAAGCCAAGGAAGGAAAAGGCGGACAAGCCCACCCGAAAGGGCAAAAAACCCGACCACCCCAAACATCATGGTTCAGGTTCATCAAGCTTTTTGGTACCGACCTCTGCTGCGGTACTGACGCCCTTGGGACCAGCCCTGCAATCTGTGATGCAGGTGACTCTGCTGGGATCCCCCAGGCAATCTATTCGGCCTGAGCGCACCTCCTCAACAGCCAGAGGAGTCGCTTAGGGAGTCAATTTCTGATGGAGAGATCAGAGACTCCCCACTGAGGGAACGCTCTCCGATGCCCACAGCTGAGCCACCTGCAGATTCACCATCGCCTCCCAGACGTTGAAGCCGCTCGTCTGAGCACCAAGATGAGGATTGGTCAATGCCTGGATATAGTGGTTTCCCCGGCTGGGGTGATTACCAACCATACACCTTTTACCCTCAGGACCGTGAGTCACCATCGGTCCCGAGAGAGGCCCCATCTATGTCGAGGCATATGGAGAGAGGACATCCAGCCTCTCCAGAAACCTCATCTTCTAGCGAATGCCACTGCTACCACGAAGACTCGGATGAGTCGGAGGTTGATTCTATGTCTCCTGATGTGGCTATCACCTCCCAAGGCCCCGCATCCCCTGACGAACCGCATGTCACCTTTGCAGAGCTCATCTTCCGCCTCATTCGGTCTCTGGAAATCGAGGCCCATCATCGCCCCGGTCCTAGTACCGATCGCTTTTACGACATCGTCAGAGGAGAGCAGTCCGCAGCCATAGCCCTTCCACTCATTACGACACTTCATCAGACTATGGTCCAGCCCTGACACCAACCGGCTCAACCACAGGCTACGTCTCGTCGGTACAAGGCCATGTACCAGGTTTGGGAGGATGACATCCCATTCCTGCTCCATCACACAAAGCCAAACTCGGTGGTGGTTGAGTCCTCCCAGGGCAGGGAGTCGAGGGGTCACACGGCCCCTTGTGACAAGGAAGGGAGGAAAATCGATATGCTCGCACGTCGAGTCTATGCGGCCTCTGGGCTCGGCCTGCATATATCAAATTATGAAGCAACACTGGCACGTTACCAGTACTTCATAATGCAAAAACTGGATAACGTTGCCTCCTCCTTTCCGGACCACCAAGCGGACTTGGCCAGGAAGCGATGCAGGTGGCGATACAACAACTCTCCACTGTCAGGCACCACGTGGACACTGACTCGAGGGCCCTCGTCAGTGCCATTTCTCTGTGCCGCCACATGTGGCTACAAATTTGTAATTTTCCAGACGATATGAAGAGGAGGATCGAGGAAATGCCATTTGATGGCACCGGACTTTTCCACCAGAAGACTGACCATAAACTGAAGTCAATCCACGAATTGTGCATGACCGCACGCCGCATGGAGTTTCCTCAGCAAAAATGTAAGTGGCAATGGCCTCAATCCTCCTACCGCCAGCAATATCAGCCTCGACAGCACTACCAACAAAGACAGCAATGTCGAAGGCAGCAGCCACAACAACGCTTCTCCCAGGGCCGTCGACGTTTCGACACCGAGAAGCGCCAATGTTGACGGTCTGGGCGGACCATTCTCTCTCTCCACTCCCCACCTTCCCCTCTCCCTTTTGGGGATCGGCTCCAAAGCCGACTCCCCATTTGGGAGTCCATTACATCTGATAGGTGGGTGTTGTCTGTCATCCAGCTCGGACATAGAATAGAATTCGATGTCGTTCCTCCGTTGAGTCCGATTCATTTTACACCCTGTTCTTCGGTACTGTGCAACGAAGTCTACCAGCTGCTTCGTAAAGGAGCGATTCGACAGCTTTCCCGCTCTGAGGGATTGCATGGATTCTATTCCAGATATTTTACAGCTCCAAAACGGGACGGTGGTCTTCATCCGATCCTGGACTTGCGAAATGTTAATAGGTACATCAAACCTAAAAAGTTTCGGATGACCACTTTATAGAATATCTTTCCATTGCTGAGGAGAGAGGACTGGTTTGCCTCACTGGACTTGAAGGATGCTTACTTCCATATTTCCATCCATCCTTCTCACAGGCACTTTCTACGTTTCACTGACGGATCCGATATATTTGAATTCAATGTTTTGCCTTTCGGCCTGGCTACTGCCCCTAGAGTTTTCACGAAGTGTATGGCTCCGGTGTGCGCACACTTACGGACTCAGGGCATACAAGTATACCCATATTTGGACGATTGGCTCATTGTGTTTGCAGACTAGACAAGACCTTCTCTTAGCTGTACACGAGACTTGCGCTCTACTTGACGATCTTGGACTTTGCATTAACCGCAAGAAATCGTCCCTTATTCCCACGCAGGTCATCGACTTCATCAGAGCACGCCTCAGTTCTACTTGGGGGAGAGCCTTCCTTCCTCCGAACCATCAAGATACTCTCTGCAGCCATATTCATCGAATCCGACTACACAGAACGGTAACAGCCATAACCATCCAGAGACTATTGGGACACATGGTTACTGCAGTTGCCACTGTTCCATACGCCAGACTACGTCTGCGGCCCATACAGCTGTTTTTCAACAGAGCATTTCACCCACAGCGGGATTCTCCCACCAAGCTGATCCAGATCCCACTGTCGATCCTACGTACTTTGACTTAGTGGACTGTTCCAGACAACCTATCAGCGTTCCGTTCTGACCATCTCAACCAACAACACCCCTGTACACCAACGCATCCCTACTCCGATGAGGTGCAGCATGTTCAGGACTTTGGGTCCAAGGGACTTGGAACCGACAAGAAACAACGAAGCATATCAACTTCCTCAAACTTCTGGCGATTTTCAACGCTCTCAAATCCTTTGAGACTGTACTATGCCGTCAAGTTGTCCAGATTCCATCGGACAACATCGCTGCTGTTTTTTACATCAACAAGCAGGGCGGGGCAAAGTCACCAACTTTAGCCCGTCTTATCGATGGAAATTTGGGATTGGTGCATCCCAAGGGGCATACTACTCCTAGTGGTTCACTTGGCAGGAACTGACAACATAGAAGCTAACACGCTGAGCAGACAGATGTCAACAATCCACTAATGGGAGTTGGACAGACAACTGTGCGAAAACCTCTTCCGTTTATGGGGTTACCCGGACATGGACTTGTTTGCTACCCGAGACAACAAGGGTATGCAATCGGTATTGTTCAAGAGCGGGTATTGAATCAGGATCGACAGGGGATGCTCTCATGATCCCTTGGGACAACATGACTTTCTACGCGTTCCCTCCGATCCCACTTCTAACGAGAGTGGCATCGAAAATAGTTCAAGACAGCGCCACAGGGATATTAATAACCCCGTGGAGGCTGAGACAACCTTGGTTTACCACTCTCCTTCAACTATTCTGAGGAATGTTCCTTCGGCTCCCAACAATTCCTCAGTTGTTAACACAGCAGAACAGAGTGATCCGGCATCCAGATGTGACCTGGTTGAAGCTGACGGCCTGGCGCATCAGCTAAACCATGCGGCTGACTCGATACCGACGAAATCTCAAGCACCGGAGAACCCGGCTTGACGAACTGTACAAACGGCTCCTCCCTCGAATTTGATGACAACCGCTTCAGTACCGACAGTTTTGATCAGGAAATTCAAGCGATTCTCGAATCTGCTTTAAGATCATCCACCCATCGGTCTTATGCGGCGAAATGGAAGAGATTCTCATCTTTTGCCGAATGCCATTTGTTTCCTCCTGGGATGGCTTCGATTGTGAACATCTTACAATTCTTCCTGGAACTGTACCACTCAGGACTTAAACCATCATCCATTAAAGTTTACGCAGCTGCCATATCACATTATCGTGGCGCTGTACAAGGCTCATCGGTCTTCTCTCAACCTTTGGTTCGGCGTTTCATTAGGGGATTACAGAATTTACATCCTTCCATTCGTCCTGCTATGCCAACTTGGAGCCTTTCCGTAGTACTTCAGGTGCTTACAAAGCCCCAGTTCGAACCTCTGGCGACCGTTGACCTACGCCTTGTTTCTTGGAAAACGGCCTTCCTTATAGCAGTCACATCAGTTCAGAGAGCTAGCGAACTTTGTGCTCTTCGAATAGACTCACCGTATTTGAATTTCCGTTAGGAAAAGGTTGTTCTTCGGATGGATTCATTGTTTCTGCCTAAGGTGGCTACGCCGTTCCACATGAGTAAAGTGATTGTTTTGCCTGCATTCTTTCCATCACCTTTGAATCCAATAGAAAGGTCTCTTCACACTCTCGATGTTCAACGCTGCTTGGCTTTTTACAGATCTCATACAGAACCCTTTCGTCGTTCTAATAGACTCTTAGTTAAATATTCCGAGCATGACAAAGAGTCCCCAGTCAAAATGGATCATCGAAACTATCCTCCTGGCATACCAGTTAGCAAAAATAGACTTACCTGTGTTTCCAAGAGGTCATTCTACGCGAGCAGTAGCGACTTCGTCTGCCTTTGCCACGGGGGTTCCATTTCAAGATATCTGCAGAGCTGCAACATGGGCTGCCCCATGCACTTTTGCCAAGCGTTATTGGCTGGATGTCCACGCCAGACAGGACTGCTCCTTTGGCAGAGCAGTTCTCTCATCTGTTCTTCACTGATGACACCTCTCTCCTCCGAGTCTGGTAAGCTTCCTAATCACCCACATGTGTGATGCACAGAGGCCACGACGAAGAAAAGCAGGTTGCTTACCTGTAACTGATGTTCTTCGAGTGGCCATCTGTGCATTCACACAACCCACCTGCCGGCCCCGCTCGGTGTTGGTGAGTGGATTTTTTTCTTGGTACCATACTTTAATATTTCGGTACCATTGATGCTTCCTGTCATATGCTTTCAACCTCAAGGGGGTGAACGTTCGGTCTTCAAGACTGAGTAAAATGGCGGACACTCCGCCCTATTTATACCACTGAGGGGGAAGGGAGCGGAGTTTTCCCGCCAAAACCATTAGCTTTCTAATCTTCCGGCCTAGGCACTGCGCAGGCGCAGTACCCACATGACTTGCGCACATGTGTGAATGCACAGATGGCCACTCGAAGAACATCATTTGCAGGTAAGCAACCTGCTTTACCCCACTCACAGCAGTATAGGACAATAACATCATTGGAATCTGCATTAGCAGATTTATTTTTTTAATATTTTCATGCTAAATTAGGACCTGGGCCAAGCAGGAGTCTTATCTTTGCTGCTATCTTTTGGAACACAGTGGTTAGCTCTCACTTTTGTTTAAAAATAGCTTTACAACCTGAAATGACCTATCTAGACAATAGGGTGTTTCTTCTAATACTTTTCTATGTCTACTACACAATTCTCCTTTTTTCAACACACCCTACTGCATTTCCCCATCCCTACCCTTGATTTTCTATTTTTCCATCTCAACAGTCAGTATTTGTGGCCACTGATCATTCTCAGTACTTATTAGGCTGCTTTGAGCTCCTTAGTACTTCTGAATACTTTTGTTTACTTATGCAAAGCTTGGGATTCTTCCAAAACTGTAGATAGTCCTATGTGTGCAGCAGGGAAGTACTGTTTTGGCTACATAAGTAATGACACTGATTGGAAGCAAAGGGAATTATTGCAATAATATCTAACAGAGAGGAGTAGGAGTAAGAGGGGAGATCAAGAGGTATGTGTTACATTTATTGCATAAAGCATTTCAAAGTGGACAGGCTTATATAAATGTGTTCACTTTTATATATGTGATTCTGAAATTTCTTGTGTATAACTGAATCTGGTTGAGATTGGTAGCATTTTGGTGTTCTAGGAACAGGTAGCTAAGACTTAGCCAGGCAGGATAGTCTTTTTATATAAAAGAAGCAACTCTTCCTCCCCCTTTAGGAGAACTGGATTAACTACTTGACGCTAACTATGTTTATTCAAAAGTGAGTCACAATGATTTCAGTGGAATTCCATGTAAAGTATATTTAGAACAGCAATCTGATGCACATTGTAGTGCTTATTTTATGTTTTTGAGGTTTTTTTTACTGCTTTAAGGATTGTTACTTACTTTACCAAAAAAGATTTATTTACATATTATTACAGGTTGAGGACCAAATTTCCCCATAGTGATCATGACACAAACCCAGGCTTTGTGTTGAGTCCGGTCATGTTACAAAGGAACATCAGTGGAGAGAACTCCAGCATCAAAATTTCAATAGAAATTGAAGGTTTCCAACAGCCAGTGACATTTACATGTGATGGTATGTGTGCTTCCATTTTTATATATGTTCAATAGATCAAACTATAAGTCAAGATTCATATAGTCTTGCTGTTTGTTTCTTCCTTCTTCATGCCAGTTTCCTTCAGATTTTATGCAGCACCCTTGATCTATCCAGAGAAAGGGCATGTTGGCTCTATAATGGAGGGTTAAAATTCTGCTTGGAGTTAATAGCCTGCTAATACCTGTGGTAGCCACTAAGCCTGTTCATCTCCAAGTTCTTAGCATGTGTTAAGAATCTCAGAAAGGGTGATTTCTCAAATATTGCTGTATAGCAGAAAAGGCTTGAAGACTTTGTGATCATGAAGAGACAGTAGTATATGGCCATTCTTTTGTCTGGGCATCCTCTGTATAACCTTTTTTTTTTCTTGTTCCTTTTCTGTTGGGCCCTGGGTTTCTTGCCTGTTGCTGTTTCCTACAGTTTGGTGCCTAGTATGTGTAGGATTTTCCATGAGAAGCTTCTTAATTAATTTTCATTTTGGATAGTGTTAAATACAAGTTAACTGTTGGCTGAGGCTTGGGAAGGTCATTTAGCTACTGGTTGGCCATACTTTGGTAAATTAGCTAGTTCTTGCCCATTGTTTGGATTAGTTTGAACTAGATGTGCCCTGAGATCCAGCTGGCTGTGGACTGTACCTCAGCCAACTTGAAAGTGCAGTTTACCAGCACATGGGACTGGCCAAGGCCAACTGCCTGGTATGGGAATGTCCAAGATGCACAGAGAATTATCTTTTAAGATTCTTTAAAAGTTAGTTATGTGCAAACATCTTAATTTTGTCTTATTTAATGGGAGCAAGAGTGATAATGGTGAAGTCTTCCTAAAAGCTTAAATTTAATACTGACCTAGTTAAATGTCAGCTAGTGTTGTTTCTTTGAAGGGTTTCCAAAAGCAAAGGGGGCATAAGCATTATACACTGTACCTACCTCAACTTTATAATCTTTTTTTCTGTAGTCAGCTAATAAAGCTGTCCAGTCTTTACCCACAGATATGCTTATTGTCACTGGATCACCCAAAAAGAGGCAGTTGAAGATACTCCTGGCATGAAGTGAGATAGATATACTTGGGCTTCTTCTCACTTTCTGCTGGACAGTTGCTCTTCATTGTGTTTTGGAAACCTCTGTTTCGAGTGTGCAGTGGGAATTTAGCATGTCAGAGAGGAACCAAAAATGAATGGAAGCACTTATTTCTAAAACAGAGTGGGTCAGTGGGTCAGCACCAAGGACTTGTCTTGATCCAAAAATTAGCATTTCTACTAATAACTGTTGGGCTTCCCTTGAAGTTTGAGCAGTTTATTTCTATCTTGCTTTTATTTGGAATTAATACAAGAATGTAACAATTACTAAGAAATTCATATTCTAATCTATGAAAATGCTTAGCAGCAGGCACCTCAAATTTTGTCCTGTATAAATGTTGTACAGCTAAGAGGGTCTGGCTTACATTTAGAAGAATAAGGCACTTCCTAGAACTGACTGTTGAATATTCCCTCCCCTCTGTGTGTGTGTGTCTGTGTCTGTATCTGTGTCTGTGTCTGTGTGCATGCTTGTTTTTTGCTATTTCTGGGCCTACCTACCCTATCTGGATCTATTGGTAATTTTTTTCCTGGACTAACCAAGTTTTTTGTAGCTATAGAACATCAGTTATGCTTTTAGTTTCTTTGACTGAATTGGTTATTGTGGAACAAGTTTATACTGCTTCCTCAAATCTCCAAGTACAATATTCATAAAATGTCTTGTGTTTTCTCTGAGCCAAAACCCAAGGCATTCTGTAGAAACAAGATATTTTGTGTTAGTGCTCTTTGAGCAATCTGCATCAAAGTATCCTTCATGAAAGATGTACCTTTCATATAAATACTTATTTATCCGTGGCTCTGTTAAACAGGGAAACATAAGAAGAGAATGATCTTTCCTACTTTCTGTTGTGTTCATCTTTCTCTAAACAGTGAGTTCTCCCGTTGAGCTTATAATAATGCAAGCACTTTGCTGGGTGCATGATGACTTGAATGATGTAGACATTGGAAGCTATATCTTGAAAGTTTGTGGAGAAGAAGAAGTTTTGCAGAAGTAAGCGCATTTTTTCTCTCAACGTTTAACTACTTAGATCATAGTTACTGGGGAAATCATCCTTAAGTATTAAACTTTGTGAAAGCGAATCTGTAGTACCTTCAGTATAAGGGGTAATTTAACAGTAGAAATTAAAGTATGTAAAGTATGTACTTTCTGTATCTGTTAACTTGAAGTTCTATTCAATTGGACACAGGTTGCTCTTTTCTAAAAAATTTAGTAAATTTTATCTTATTATATGCATTGTTCAGTTTGTTTAAATTCAAGTTTTATGAAAGTTATAATAGCTCCTCAAACCTAGCTACTCTTAGAAATAAGCTGTCGCTAATTATGTGTGTTGCGTTCTCAGACACAGAGCCTGGTTTCCCTTTTTGGCTTCTTGCTACCTTTTTGTTTACTGCAACTGCTGTTTTGGATCTTGACCTGCAGTTCTGCTTAGGAGTTAAGTCATTTATGGTGGAGTCCAATGGAGATGCCCCAAGCTTCCTAACTTGGAGGATTAAGGGCATTCTACCAGATGTAGTCTTTGCCTCTGTGCAGTTCCTGCCCTGCAAGGCAACTAAATGACTGGTTTCACCCATCTAGCTGAGGTGCTTTGGGTAGGCAAGGGAAGGAGTCTAGCCCTACTCCCTCCTTCAAACCCTGAAATGCTCTCTTCACCTGCTCTCTGAAGTTGATCTTGTGATAGAAAAGAAACCACTACCATACTTCTTTATGCACTGACTGTGAGGCAGAGGAGAGGGATCCACGCATGGAGCCTGAATTCCAGGATTGGAATCCTGTGGCCTCACAGATGTTGTCTAGGGGCCATAGGATTGTTTTGTCCATTATACCATGACTTCAGGATCTGGCACACATGTTGTAGAAATGTTTGATATTATACAGCCTAGAAAGAGCAAAGATAAGAATATAACTTTTCTGTCTCCAAATACAAATACTAAAAAACTGCAGGTTTACATGCAACTGTACTTCCCCCTGCTTTTTGGAGGGAGGAAAATATCATTGATCAAGGTCCATTCATGCTTTAAGTGGGACTGGCATTCCAATAAAGGATTATTCTTAACATAGGCACAGCCAGAAAAAGCATAATTTCTTAACTGTAAGCCTTTCAAACCAGAGGAAGCTGGTTTCACATTCTGGTTTCAAGCTAACCATTGTTAACATTAACCTTTGCGCAGATATACCATATTTCCCCAAAAATAAGACCTGGTCTTATATTAATTTTTGCTCCAAAAGACGCATTAGGGCTTATTTTAAGGTGATGTCTTATTTTTTCATGTACAACAATCCACATTTATTCATTTATTCACGTACAAAAAGCTACATTTATTCAAATACAGTCATGTCATCTTCTTCTGGAACATCGTCGTAACTCTCCAAACCCCGAACTGTGTTGCAATGGATGTAGTAAATGTGTCCGTCTGGCTGACGATCTTAACTGGGGCTTATTTTTGGGGTAGGGCTTATATTACAAGCATCCTGAAAAATCATACTAGGACTTATTGTCCGGTTAGGTCTTATTTTTGGGGAAACAGGGTAGTTCTAAGCCATAAATAAAACTCAAAAGGAAGGGGACAGGGAAATTAGTGAGGGAGAGAGGAGAGGGGAGGACATGTGCCTATAGGATTAAAGCCTACAATGGTTGAGAGATTGGGAGATGTTATGTGTCTATGGATCATAATACTGACCTCTAGAATCTAGGCACCATTACACTGCGGGAATATCCTTTAAAATGTTTATTGTACATTCAAAATGGTGAGTAACCACAATATTCATTTCTTTAACAGTAAGCATAGTGTAGGAAGCCATGAATACATTCAGAACTGCAGAAAGTGGGACACAGAGATAAAACTGCAGCTCTTGACCCGTAACTCTATATGCAGAGATCTGGCACGAACGGTAAGTACAAAGTAAATAAAAACATCCTTGGTTTTTTAAGTTCATCATTATTGTTGAAAGTGTGCACACCCTTCCACTCCCTGACTTAGAACTGAATTAAAGTCCAACTTATTTATAGATACCAATGGAGAATTAATATCTCAGTCCTTTATGCCTGTACATGAAGTAACGAGAAATAGCAATCCAACTTGTGTGTGTGATATAATTTTTTTGAACAACATACATCACTGTTTGCTAAACAGAAGATTTTTTGTCATTTTCACTGTAGTGAACTAGCAATATGATCCTTTTCAGGTGCTGAAGAAATTTATTAAGTCATTCTCCAGTCTTGTATTAGGAAGGTTTCTACCCTTTCTTGACTTAATAAATTCAGTCCTACTGAAACAAATGAATTTTTAAACCAGCTAAACAGCCATTTTCATCTTGCAACATTCTGCTTTCTGCAATTATTAGTTGGAAATTTACATAGCGCCTTAAAGTTTAGGGGATCACCAAAGCAATAGTCATCACTGCAGGACATGTGGACCCAAAAAGTCAAGGTCTCTGCTCACACAAAAATGCTCTGGGTATATGCACAGAGCTCTTGGATCTTGACCTATGACAAGAAAAAAGTATTTGTGGAATGAAACAGACTTATTGGTGAAAGTAGAGACAGAACCATCAGTGAAAATGATCTTTTGAATTTGTGATCAAAGTTGTGGGTTTGCGCTTATTCATGCTGAGTAAAATCAGTAGAAAAGGGAGGGAACTATGAAACATCTTGGTGAAAATATGGACTTTGTAACCATCCTTAAGTAGAGTGTTGAAAAGAACAAATGAATGCAGGTTTTTGTATTTAAGGATGTGAGGAAATGCTGAAACTTTCTTTTTCGGTAAATTGAAACAGCAGTTTGCTTTCCATGTTTAGATTACTATTTTGATTTGTGTTTAGGTTTAGAGGAACAAGATAAAATATTGATAATCAAATAACCTGCATTTCTCATTTTTAGGAAGAAGATGATGATGAAATATCGATCGATTTGACCAAACATCTCTGTCATGTAGAAAAGCTTTTCAAAGAGAGCATTCATAGGTAACTGTAATAATATCATTTGTAACCAAACTAATTTCAGCCTAATGTTTTTATACTACTTTTACAAATGCTTTTATTTGTAATATAATAATTGTTTGTTCCAGCCACTCTCTTGAGGAACTGTTTGACACATATCATAATCAAGTTGACATGCTACTTAATACTGAGGTAAGCTGTGTCTTTAATGTACTTCTAGTACTTTTCATACACAACTGAATGAAACTTGTCATAACTTTATGACAACTATTTATATATAAGTCAATAAATGTAGTATTTGCTGGTTCTGGAGATGTACAAATCATGACTTTCAAATCTTATTTACTACTTAAAACATTTTCCCCAAGTCCTAGTTTAAGAATTCAAACTTCCTATAAGGCTTTTGTTATTATTGAAAGAAGGATACCCACACTTGCACCTGATGGTATGCTTTGAACCATCTCTTAAGGTTCCTCTTCTTTCTATGTGGTAGTTGGCTGGCACTTCCATATATCACAAGGTGGTGGTATTATGGTAAAGTCAGAGAAAAATAAAGTTTCTTCAGCTCTTTCTCAGTCTCCCTATCCCTGCCTCCTATTCTTACTTTTTAAAAATCCATTTTTTGTTTCTTACCCATGTGCCTCTTCATTTAATATCAGTGTATATGCACCAGTGCTGTACAGAATTATCTGCAAAACAGTCAGATGCACTTCATTCCCTGTTCTTCCTCTTCAGGAAACAAAAACAAACAAAAACACACACACTCAGCTAGATAGGCTGCTGAGTTCATCTAACTCACTAACCTAGTGCTGGTCAGGGACAGTGATGGAGAGGTCATCAGGTCCTGCCAATACATGCCTCCTCTCCCCACCACCTAGAATATACCCTTGCTAACTTCTCCATAAATCATTGTTGTGACCACGGAAGAGCAGCCATTGTAGTGCTTTCTGTGGTGATTGTAAGGAAGGGTGAGGGAACAGCCCAAACCTGGATTCCCACTCCTAAGTTCATAGGAGTATCTGTGGCCTCAGGAAGAGGTATCTGCAACATCCTATTATTCATGGGCATTCTTTTAGGGGTAAAAGATTGCTCTGCCCACTGCTCTTGGTAACTCTTAAAAAATAGAATATATTGATTTCCAATAAACTTCAACCATTTTCATAAGAGTGATGATATGCCAGTAGTTCCATGTTGGTATCCTTCAATCAGACTTCACTGAAGTTTTAATCTGGAAAAGTTGTTCTGCATACCAACATTTGAAATATAGCTAGGATCCCTTTGAATTGGAAGAAACCATTTCCGTTCTGTGCTCATTACTTTGGCAGCTCAGGCTATCTGAACCAGCTGGGGTAAAGACTGGTATTCTTGCACTGAATTGGGATGGGATTTTGGAGAGCTTCAGCAGCTGAAGAGATAGAATGGAAAATGTCACTGGCTGGCAGAGCGTTGGTTATTTGAAGCAACTGAACAGCATTATGTCATGAATTTAGCATTTAACATACAAACATCTTGAACAGAGGACAGATTTTGCATTCCCTCAGTGGCAGGCTACCAAAATAGCTGGATGTCTCCCTGTGGATACTCCATATTGAAAAAGACTCCCTTGTTTAATAAGACTAACCTGTTCAGACTATACTTTTGTTCTGAGAAATGTCATGAAACCTCATATTTTCACATTCATCTTGGGGTGCAGTTAATGTCTACAGTAGTTGCGGATTAGACTTAAAGCCATTTTTATAATTTCTCAGGTTGCTACTAAGACTTGGTAGGACTTTGGACAATGTATATACCTTGTTCTGTTGTGTGCTTTTTCATCAGAACCAACTTAAAGCAGTAGATCAAGTTATTAAAGCTGTCCAAAATATTTGTGATATATTGGATGGGGTAGAGACTCCTGCAATTACGATGTCTGTAAAAAATCTAAGAAGAGCAGTTAACCTTCCAAGGAGTAAGAGTCCTGAGGTAATTGTTCAGTCGTTTTGTTTTCTGTTTTGTACATGGAGCCATTACGTAGTCTGAGCCCTATTCCCTTTGCTCCCACAAACTGCCTATAGCTAATTTGATAGAACAAGTGTGGTTTGGACAGATTTTTTGTTTCAGATGCCAATAATCATAACATGAGGTCAAAGGAAAATTACTTCTTCCTCAAACAGGCAAAAACTGTGTATTTTAGAACAGAGTGAATTATGTGCTGCTGCATTTAGACACTTTTGAAGGGTCTTGAGCAATGCTGGTGGGAGTAGTCCTATCCCAAGGTAATATTTGTACTTTTACCGAGAAGGTTAGGAGAGCTGTAGGACACCTGTCACAGAAGTAAAAGAAATGCAACCTAATTTTTACCTCATTATATCTAACGGTTGTTGTCAGAAGGAAATCTTACAAAGTACAGTGGTACCTTGGCTCACGAGTGCCTCAGTTCACAGCCAAATTGGGTTGCGAACAGAATTTTCATAAAAATTTTGCCTCAGGTCTCGAACTCCGCATCAGGTGACGATCACAAGCGCGCCCACCTTCCCTGCACGGGCGCGATCACGGCAATGCTGGGGGGCGGGGAGAGATGGCCGTGATTGCACCAGGAGGGAGATGGCCATGATTGCGCCAGTGTTCCCTGCCCAAGTGCGCCAACGGCCATCTCCCCCACAAGTGCGCCCACAATTGCACCAGTCTCCCCCCGAGCACGCTCACGCCAGTCCCACCCCCCCAATTGTGCCGATGATCACACCCGTCTTCTCCTACCACCCCGCACAATTGCTGCGGGGCGGGGGGAGATGGCTGTGATCTTCGTTCTTTGTCACTTTGCTTCAAATTTTTGTGAGTAAAAAAAAATATTGACCCTTTTGGGGAAATTTGACTTGGCTTACTACCAATTTGGGTCTCGACCAGAGTCCTGGAACGGATTAAGTTCGTGAGCCAAGGTACCACTGTACTTTTAAGATGGTTTCAAAAAGTGCTTTGAAAAACATCCTGAATAACAATATCTGATTTGATGCTCAGAACTATGTTTTAGACATTTCTGGTACTAATGTAACAACTGGTTTTTTAATTTTTGATTCTTAAATTTTCCAGTTTACACAGGTATCTTTAGCATCTTCTGATGACTCAAGCAAAAATATAGTTGGTAAGTACAAACCTTAATCTTTTATTTTGTCTTTTAGCATCTGCTCTAATCATCATATTTACACTAAAATAAAATCTTAACTAGGTTCACTGCAACCAGAAAACCCTCTGCAGATTATCATAGATCAGCTCACCTCAGCAGTTTATGGTCTTCTTCAACTCCATTTGAACTTGTGCAGCAGTCTTTCTTCAAAACCTCCAAAGAGTAAGAAGAGCACTAAAGAAGCATGGACTGCCACAGAGCACCTTCAGTTCACAATATTTGCAGCTCATAGAATTCCCAGTGGCTGGATCTCACTGTGAGTAAACTAAGATGCCCTTTCCAATTTTCCAATTTTCCAATTTATAACCTGCCTTTTTCCTACAAAGGGCTCAAGGCAGCTTACATCATTCTCCTAACCCTTTGCCCATGTATGTATATCCTAATGCTTTCAATCACCATATCTTTTCTTCTCCAGTTATGAGAAATACTACTTGGTTTGCTCTCTTACCCACAATGGAAAGGATTTGTTTAAACCTGTCCAGTCCAAGAAGGTTGGCACATACAAGAATTTCTTCTATTTGATTAAATGGGATGAACTGTAAGTAATTTTAAAAGTTCATTTGATTAATAAAAAGATTCTGAATGCTTTGGGTAATATTTGTCAGATCCCCCTAGACTGTTAATTAAATTTCCCCAGTTCCATCATTTTATACTTAACTGTGCATCCTGTTTTCAATTTTCTGTGAGCAGTCTATATTTTCAGTGTTATACCACATCCTTCAGCATAATTTCAAACTGACAAGGCAATTACATAGATAAATCTGCTGTTAATTCAAATCAAAGGTTATCCAAGTGATCAAGTTTTGGAGGCAGGACTTAAGAGAAACATAAAATTGCACAAAAATAACATTTCCATTTCTGTTTTAAAAATGTGTAAGTGTTCTTTACACCACAAAAAGAAATATATACTGTTTCCTCTTTTAATTATTCTAGAGTACTATGTGTGAGGCTCAGATATCTGTTTGTTCATTACAATGTCTTGGCTTTGCCTGCTCACTTCCATATTGGCTTTCTCACTGGGTTGCACAGTCCCTCACCCACTGGCCTCACTGCAAGCTAAACAAAAATCATGCATATTATTTGAACTCAGAATTACTCATGGTAAGGAGAACAAGGGGAGAATCCTACAAGTCTAGGTCCCATCCCCAGTTTCATGCTGGGCTGAAGTAATGAATGAACAGTATTTTAGTACTGCTTTATGCATAATGGGCTTGAACAGATATCATTTCCATATAGAAAATTATGAAGAATCCTCTGTAGAATTAGTTACATGTGAAATGCATGTACAAAACAAAATATGAATTGCTTTGTCATCAACCTGCCCTCAGGTGTCTGAATACTCTTTCATGACTTCTTATTAGATGGGACAGCCAAACTAGCATGTATAATTGAGACTGAGTAGGTGAAGGGGGGAAGTTTGCCTCTCCCAACTCTGCTAACCAGGGTTCTTTTTGCAGAATCAGGAAAGCCTGCAGGGCTGGGGAGGAGGTTTATCATGGTCTATAGGAATTCCATCTTTCTCCAGGCACCCGTTATGTCTGACCCCGTCTAGAGTGTTTGCAAATTGTGCTGGGCCAGCAGGGCAGATTGAGAATTGTGTTGGTATACTATCCATCCTGCAACCCAAAAGTCTCCATTCCAGAACTTACATTGGTCTTGGCCATGATATTAAGATCCACCCCCCCCACCCCCCGTTTGCTGGTCTTGGGGGATGTTAATTTCCATGCTGAGGACACCCTGTCTGGTGCAGTTCAAGATTTCACAGACTCCACAGCAACCATTGGACTGTTCCAATGTGTTTTTTACCCTACACATGTAACAGGGAACACTCTAGATTTTTTCTTTTCAGCTAGGCATGGGAATAGCAATCTGAAGGTGAGGGATTTTTGAATCTGTCTTTTCAGATCATTGCCTGCTGAGATTAGAGTAATGGCAAGTTTTGCTTTCTGCAGGGGCTTAAGAGCTTATGAAGATGGTTTGCCTTATAGGCTGATGTGTCCAGATAGTTTCCAGAAGGCTTTATGGGGCTTCCTGCCTAAGTGGCTGGCTTGTCTAGAATATAAAGATGACCCAGAGAGTTGACATGATCACTCCTGTGTGCCTTCTTTTGTAGTAGGGCTCAAATGATTTTATGCTATACCCTAGAGATGAGAGCGATGAAACAAAACAGGAGATGGCCTGAGCATAGATGGAGGAAAACTCCTAGTGGATGCAATCCCCTGGTATGTACCTATAGTTGAGCATATTTGGAGTCAATAAGAGCGGCAAATAAACAATGTCTCATTGCCTCTCTTAGCTAATAAAAGCTAGCAAGAAAGGAACAACTGGCAGGGCCAGAGAGGTGATCCATACTTCTTTATGAGGAGGAGTCATCCCGTGCCTCCAGAAACAGGAGGTGGTGAGCCCACTCCTGAAGAAACCCTCTCTAGACACAAAGTTCTTAATTTTAGACCCTGGCAGATATCCCCTTTCTAGCCAAGGTTCCTGAGTAGGTGGTAGCCAACCAGCTTCAAGCTCTCTTAGATGAGACTGATTATCCAGTTTCATTTCAGTCGGGGTTCTGTTCTGGTTTTGGCACAGAAATAGCTTTAGTTGCCCTGTATGATGACATATGTTAAAAGAGAGACAGGGAGAGTGGGACCCTGCTGGTACTCATGGATCACTCAGCAACTTTTAATACTATCAGCCAAGTATACTTCTGGAGTGAATGTCTGAGATGGATGTTGGGGACACTGCATTTCATTGGCTTAGCCCCTCCTTGGATGGATGGCTCCAGAAGATTGTGCTTAGGGGATGTTGCTCTGCCCTGTGGACTATCCAGTATGGGGTTCCTCGGGAGTCAGATTTATCCCCCATCTGCTGTATATGAAACCAATGAATGCATCTGGAGTTTTGGACTGCCCAGTTATCAGTATGCTGATCACATGCAGTTCTACTTCTCCTTTTCATCTTCAGCAGGTAGGTCTGTGGATGTGCTTTAACTGGTGCCTGGCCATGACAATGGACTGGATGAGGGCTAAGAAACTGAAGTGCAGGCCAAACAAGATTGAAATGCTGTTAATGGGATATACTTCTGACTGAATGGGGGAAATCAACCTACTCTAGATGGGGTTGCACTTCCCTTGAAGAAGCAAGTTAATAGTTTGGGGTATAGAAATAAAATTATCGATGATGATGATGTAGCAAACAATTTCCTATATAAAAGTGACATGTGTAGGAAGATTGGTCATGTTATTCTGTCTCTACTCATGGTAAGTTTGTCAGTGCTTCTTTTCATGTACAGTATTAATTATGTGTATAGACACTGTATTTAATACCATTTTGTAATTTGTGTTTACCAGTGAAGTGAAGCAAGGTGTAGTGAGATTGCATCAGTGGAGCACTCTATATTTAGTTGGCATTGGAGGCGTTGTATTATAAAGTGGTATTCAACCAAGTAAAAAACTTCATATTTTCAATAAATCTCTAATAATCTGTTTTTTTTAAATTTTACAGAATAATTTTTCCCATCCAAATCTCACAGTTGCCATTAGAATCTATCCTATGCCTTACTCTTTTTGGAATCTTAAATCAAAATGGCAGTTCACCCGATTCAAATAAACAAAGAAAAGGTCCAGAGATGTTGGGTCAAGTTTCCTTACCTTTGTTTGATTTTAAACGGTAAGTATTCAAAGTGTCTTCTACGGCAAACAATAGAGTATGTTAGGATCAGGTTTCACATTACCTATTTTATGAATGTATTCTATTTATATCCTGCCTTTTTTCCTTTCAAGGAACATAAAGTGGTTTACATAAATCTTATTTATCTATTTAATTTTTATACCTCCTAGTAACTGGTGCTCTCTGGGTGGTTAACAAAGGTTTTTAAAAATTACACAAACACAAATTAATTAATACTACAAAACCAGAATAGCAATTGAAATTGAATTGGCATAAAATCATAGCAGCAATACAAAATTCAATATTAAAAATAAAGTTTCAAAGTTAAACTGTTAATATTTCGGGAAAATAAAAACGTCTTCACCTGGTGCCAAAAAGAATACAAAGTAGGTAACAGGGGAACCACTTTGGGAAATTCATTCCATAACTGAGGTGCCACAGCTGAAAAGGCCCTCCTCCTGCTAGCTACCTGCCTCAGTTCCTTTGAAAGGTGCCCTGCAGAAGGACTCCCAAAAATGACCTTAGGGCCCAGGTTGGTATGTATGGGTCAAGGTGCAATGCAGATAACTTTCAGATAACCTGTCCCCAAGCCATTTAGGGCTTTGAATGTTAATACTAGCTGTTTGAATCAGACCTGGACTTCAACCAGTTCATCTGGAAGAAAACTGCCATAATAGGTTCTCATGAGCCAGTCCCCTTTAACAGTCTTGCTGCCCTGCTTTGGATCAGTTGAAGTTTCTGGACCTTTTTCAAAGGCACCCCACCATGTTCAGTGCATTGCACTTAACTAAATGAGAGATTATTAGAGCATGAATAACTGTAGCTAGTCACTCTCTGACCAGGTAGGGTTGTAGTTGGTACATCAGCTTAAGCTGATAAAAGGTGCTCCATGCCACCAATTCTTCTTGTGCCTTAAGCAATAACCCTGCGTCCAGGAGCAATTCATAATGTTATCCTCACAACAAAAATCCTGTGAAATAGACTGGGCTGAGAGTCTGTAACTCACCCAAAGTCACCCAGTTACACTCCATGGCTAAGCGGTGAGTAAAACCCAGTCATGCACTCTTAACCACTACACTACACTACACTGGGTCTGAATATTCCATGGCAATCAGCACCCACATGCAGTTGCCCATCTGGCTGCAGGCCCAAAGACTGACGTAGCATGCCAGCTGCCACACAGCTACAAACTTAACCATTCTACTATGCAAAGGATCTGAACTAAAACAACAAAAAACAAAACAAAAACCCTTGAAAAGAGAAATCCATGAACATTGCATAAGTGGAACTCTAGATTTCTGTAACCTCTATTTTGATTCATATATTCAAAACTTGCTCTCTTAAGATTGTTATATTTGATTCAGCCCACAGTATTAAGATACTTAGAGTGGAGATAATTTTGAGAACCAAGTATTATTGGCTGCAGTCTTATCAAATAGTGATACTGAAGGTAAAAGTAATCAAGCAGCCCAATTCACAGGATTGCTGCATCAATAGTTCTGTGTTCCCAAACCAGAAATTCCACTACCAGTTTTTAGTGCTTCTTTCTCATTGCCTAATATAAATCTGCATGTGGAGGCTTGTCCTTGTTAGTTATTTGACTGCTTAGATTGCTTTGATATTGTCAGATTTCAGTTCAGACTATAAATCCATGGAACTTGTCACACCTATTTTTCTAAAGCACCATGTACAAAGGGTAGTACTATATAAATAATAGTATGTAGGTATGTATGTATTTATTTATTTAGACAACTTATATGCTGCCCCATCGCATGAGCCTCGGGGCGGCTTACAATCATTAAAATCCCGTATAAAATGCAAAAAGTTCATCAAATAAATAAAATACATAAAATAAAATAGTGGAAACAGCCTGGTCAATTTAAAATCAACAAGTAAACCATTAACAGTTAAAATAGCGTTTAAATAAAAAGGTCTTGGCCTGGCGCCGAAAAACAATGACAGCACCAGGCAGACCTCTCTGGGGAGCACATTCCATAGGTTGGGCGCCGCTGCAGAGAAAGCCCTCCGAGTACTCACCCTCCTAATATCCTTCATGGAGGGTTCCCGGAGAAGGGCTTCTGCCGCCGATCTCGGGGTGGAAGGGCATATATGGACACAGGCGCTCCTTTAGGTAACCAGGGCCTAAGCCGTTCAGGGCTTTGTAGGTGATAACCAGCACCTTGAATTGGGCCCAGACTTCAGTGGGGAGCCAGTGGAGCTGACGGAGGACTGGAGTTATATGAGAACAACGCCCAGTCTCCTTCAGCAGCCTGGCAGCTCTATTTTGCACCAATTGAAGTATCCGGACCGTCTTCAAGGGCAGCCCCACGTAGAGCGCATTACAGAAGTTTAATCGGGAAGTGACCAACGCGTGTGTCACTGTTGCCAGGCAGTCGTTCTCCAGGTAGGGATGCAGCTGATGGATCAGCCGAAGCTGAAGGAAAGCGCTCCTCGCCACCGCTGTCACTTGAGCTTCCAATGATAGCTCTGGGTCGAGGAGCATTCCCAAGCTGCGGACCCTGTCCTTAAGAGGGAGTGCAACCCCATTCAGGACAAGGTCAAAGTCCCCCATCCCAAAGCCCGATTCACCTACCAACAGGACCTCCGTCTTGCCTGGATTGAGCTTCAGTTTATTGGCCCTCATCCAGCCCATTACCTCAGCCAGGCACCAGTTCAGTACAGGCACTGCCTCACCTGGATTGGTTGAAAATGAGAGGTAGAGCTGGGTATCATCAGCGTACTGATGATTCCGCAGCCCGCTCCTCCTGATGACCTCTCTCAGCGGTTTCATGTAGATGTTAAATAGCAAAGGGGACAGAATGGATCCCTGCGGAACTCCATGGCATAGCTGCCATGGCGCAGAGCCATAGTCCCCCAGCACCACCTTCTGGAATCGGCCATTGAGATAGGAGCAGAACCACTGCAAAGCAGTGCCCCCAACTCCCAATCCCGCTAGCCTATCCAGAAGGATACCATGGTCGATGGTATCGAAAGCCGCTGAGAGGTCCAGGAGAACCGACAGGGTCGCACTCCCCCTGTCTTTCTCCCTGCACAGGTCATCGTACAGGGCGACCGAGCTTGTACACATTTGGAAGTGATTTGAATTGCTTCACAAAGACTAATAATTCACTTTGGGCACAGTTCTTTCTAGCTGGCCATAGGATAGGTTGGAATCCCAGCTTCTACATTAGGAACATTCTCAGGGACTTCAAAGTGTTCTCCCTCAATCCTTGAAGCTAGTGTAGTTACACACACAAGAAAATAGCAACATGTAGACATGTTCTTGCACTGCAGTTCTTTCAAGTGTGATAAAATGCCATATAAACTGCTAAATGAGCATTTGAAAGTTCTAAGTTTTCTAGGCAAGTCTGCCTAGTAATAAGTCATGATCAGTAAGTCTCACTTCCAAGTAATGTAGGATTTTTTGCTTGGAGACTTTTTCTTTTTAAAGAGGACACTGGAGGGTAGAGAGATTCTGTTGTATCACCTTTTCATGCAAATGAACCTCTCCACACATTAGTTCTCTGTCGAGGGGCATATTCCTGCTGTTTCTGAAGTTTTTGAACCAGTCATTAGGATGATTCTCTGGGGAGAATATGTAATATATGACATGCTTTTCCTTTCTTTAGTAATAATTGAAAATGGTTATCTTTTTGGATGGAATAAGTAAATATTGTCCCTAAAGGCAAACTGCCATCGCTTTGTACCTGATAGGTCATTTTGCTTTCTAGAATTTGTTGTTACTTTTTTTCTTTTGAAATATCCACATAAAATTGTATTCTTTGTTTTGTGTCTTTAGAATGCTGACTTGTGGAACTAAACTTTTATACCTTTGGACACCTTCCACAAATACTGTTCCTGGAGTGTTGCATAAAAAAGGAAATCAAATGGAAAGAATAGCAATGCAGGTAGTGTAATTTCCCTGTCAATTGCTTGTTAGCACCGAGGAACCATTTGCATCCACACACCCTCTGACTTTCCATGTTTTGCTGTGTTACAACTTGGAACTGAAATTGATTTAATTGCCATTATTACATCACTTGATGTAAACAAAACTGAGAGTCAGTGTGGGGTAGTGGTTAAGAGCATGGGACTGGAACTCAGAGGATCTGGGTTCTAGTACCCACTCAGCCATGGAGCCAACTGGGTGACTTTGGGCCAGTCACAGACTCTCAGGCCAACCTACCTCACAGGGTTGTTGTTGTGGGGATAAGATGGAGGAGAAGTAAGCTGTCTTGAGCCCTTTGTAGGAAAAAGGCAGGATATAAATTTAAAAAAAAATCAAATTGGCACTTGTTGGTTGCATACTCCCCTGAATCAATACTGGCTAGAAGCACATTTGGTATAAAGTGAAGTTGCAAGTCTTCTTGGGTAGGTCTCTGTCAGCTTTGTGTGTCTGGCGTCTACAGTGTCTGTCTATTCTTCCTGGCAAAAGAGGTCCAGCTCTTACCAGGCTGGATGAGGACCATTGGTGAACCACAACTTTCAAGTCTTGCCACTGATTCTCAATTGGATTGAGCTTTGACTGGGCCACTCTAAGACATTTGGGTTCTTATTTTTAAATCATTCCAGTGTTGCTTTGGCTGTGTGTTTTCGACTATTATCCTGTCTTCTTTCTCCTTTCTTACACTTTCACATCCTTCACAGAATAAGCTAGCTAATCACCCTTAAGTGTGATGCACACAGAACATGAGGAAGAAAGGCAGATTGCTTACTTGTAACTGTTCTTTGCACGGTCTGTGTAGGCACAAAGCCCATATCTGTGAATGTACATATGACCACTCAAAGAATGGCAGTTACAGGTAAGCAACCTGCCTTTTTCAGTTGCACAGGCATTTCTCTTTTGCAGGTGCATATAAGTTGTTTTGGATTGCTTAGTTGTATATATTCACAGGCCAGAAAATAAAGGATACAGAGTTAGTGTGCATTATGTTGGCAATTAACTGAACTCAGTGGTTGTTGTAAACTTACTGAATGTACTAAATTTTGTTTTTATATAATATGACGTGATGCATCTCTAATAATAACTCTGTGTGCAAGTTTTTGGCCAGTGTATAACCTCATTATATGTATTATTTGAGAGAACTTTTCTCATACAGCTTCCTGTAGGTATTTCTGGCTTCAGTCTTAGTGGGGAATTTTTGTTGTGTGATTTCAGGGAAGAAAGGGGGTGGTGCAGAAGAAGTTGTAATTGGGGTGTACCTGAAGTGCTAGCAAGTTTGTTCATGTCATAGTGTGCTTAGCACTGTGAAAACAATATTAATTTGCTTTTCATCTTTTCAGGTTGATTTTCCATCATTACCGTTTGACATTGTATACAAAATTCCTCAAGGTGCAGAGAGTTCCACATGTCATTCCATAGAAACATTGGGGAAAAATTCAAGAGAACGCCTTCTTTCCATTCTTTCCAAAGAGGGTACACTTGAGTATGTTGCATTGTTCTTTGATATTTTACATAGTTAGCTTTTTAATTTAAAAAACCCTTTAAATTAAATATGTATTTTCAAAACATTAGAGTTTATTGGATTTAAGCTGTTTCTATCTGTTGTCTTACAAAATTCTGACTAAACCTGTCAAGATGTGGAATAATCTTTCTGCACTTCTGAATCTCACATTCCTACATGAAATACACTTGGGTATGAAACTCATATGCAGGTTATTATGTATGACTGTTGTCCTTGCTTTTATTTTTCTTGCATATACTCCTTGGATTTTGACAGAACTCTAGGCAATGTGAGAAACAACATATGACTTTGACTCATTATCATTCTGTTCATTTGTAATGAGTAGATAAAAGCTGGGAAGGGATTATTAGTGCCTGACTGAAAGATAGTTGCTTCCTGCTCCTTTAAGGAATGGTTCATTACTTCAAAGGATATATAGATCATGAGGAACCTGACTAGATCCATCACTGTTATTCCCTTTGTGGGGAAGTTAATAGAACATGTGGTCACAATGTAACTACAAACATTGCAGGATAATATATTTTTTCCCTTTTTGACCTACTGTTGTTTTGGCTACGAAACTTGTCTCTGCTCTGGTTGGGGAAAGGGAGAACAAGTTGAAACTGAACACAGATATGATACAAGTGATGTTAATAGGAACAAGCTGTTAGAGGAGTGGAGAGTTTGTTGATCATTTGTTAAACAAAATGTCAAATAGGAACAAGCTGTTAGAGGAGTGGAGAGTTTGTTGATCATTTGTTAAACAAAATGTCAAACACCCATCATTTACAGTTTTTCAGGGTTCCTTACAACAGCATCATGAAAATACCATAAACAGTGTTGAAACCATAAAACAATCATCTAGCAGAAATGAAGAATGAAACATTTCAACAATTAAAGGCCTAGAAAAATAAATCTTGAGTGAGTGCTTAAAAGCTAGCAACAGGCAAGCCTTACTGTGCAGAACTCCACAACTAAAAAGGTCCTCTTCCTGCTTGTCGCTTGCTTCACCTTAGATGGCAGGAACACCTTGAAAAAGGGCCTCCAAAGCAGATCTTAATGAATGGGCAGGTTGATGTGGGAGAAGACATTCCCTCAGGTACCTGGATACCCAACCATGTAGGGCTTTGAAAGAAAGCAGCAATTTGAATTGTGCTTAGAAATGGACAGGGGAGCTTTTGGAGCACGGGTGCAATGTTTTCCAGGCTAATGTTGTCAGTTAGCCTATCAGCTGCATTTCAAACTAACTAACAGGTTGAATACCACTTTCTGGTTTGATGGAACATTTACAGACAGTTCCTTCCTCCTAATAAGACTGAACTTAAATGTATTGATCCTTGCCTAGTCCATTGTTGCAAGCAATGATTTAGCACTTCTGCTGCCTCACTGGTGTCTGTACAAAGCAAACATAGTGTTGTCAGTGTATGATGACAGCTAACTCCATTCTTCAGTTGGCTTCTCATGGATGTTAAAAAGATGGACAAGATAGGACATGTGGGGAATTATTAGCGCTACAACACTGAGCAATAAGCCTCCTAGCAGAACCTTCTGAAATTGGTCCTCCATAGGAATACTGGAAAATGCATATTTTATTTATTTATAGTTCTTGTATCTCACCTGTGACAATGTCTCAGGGTGTATTTGTCTGGCTAACCCACACTGATCGTTCCCATCACCAGTATTGCATTCTTTTCATTGGAGATGCCAGGAATTAAACCTGTGACTCTTTACATACAAAGAATGTTCTCTGCTTGCTGAGCTATGGTCCCTGCCCAAAAACAGAGTGGAACTATCAGAACATTATGTTTCTCCCCTGCCTCCCAGCCACAAATTTAGAGAACTTATCCACAAGAATACCATGCTGAGAGATCCAGGAGAATTAGCAAGGTCAAGCTCCCCCTGTCCTCCTGCTGGAGGTCATCTGTCAGGGTAAGCCAAACAGTTTCTGTACAAGAAGACCACCACCACCCAAGCCTGAAGCTTTACTGAAATGGATCCAGGTAAACAGTTTCATTCAAATACACCTGGAGCTGCACAGCAAACATCTGTTCAAATGCCTTGCTCAAGAAGGAAATAGACTATTAGTTAACTACCATGAGTGGGACTTTCTGATAACCACCCCAAAGATTAAGTTTGTAGCTTGGAAGTAGTTTAGGAATAGGAGATAATGGTATTTGAAGAAGCTCAAATGGTGACTGTAGCAAGGGACACCTTTTAATCTGTTATTTAAGGTGTTGGCAGTAGAAGTCTAGCAAGTAAAATTCATGTCTTTGTAAAATTAACTGATAACCTATGGCAGAATACTTCCTTAATTTCCAGAATCTTCAAATGGTACAGAAAAACACAGAGTGCCTCCTGCTTAGAAATTGAAGGGCTCATATGCAGCAGTTGTATGGAGAATGAATTGTTTTTGAAACAGGACAGGATAATGATTTTAACCTGTAAAGCCCTAAATCCTAAATTCAGACCTGAAGGAATGCCTCACTCCATATTAATGATAAGGATGTTACTTCAACCCTTACCAGCTTCTCTGAACCACCTGTTTGTTTTTATAAAGAATTTAAGTGTACTTTGTGCCAGACAGCTGTGTCACTTTGTCATCCATAATATCATTCTGTCTGTTTTTCAGATCTGATTTTTAAAATGCAATTGTGATGCTAGCTCAGCCCTTATGGACTTATGCATTATTGAGAGTTTTCTCCCATTAATTAGAAGCTTCCTCCTGATTTTAAAATAGCATCTGCCTCTATAATTACTTGTTTGATAATTATTGATAATTTGTGTGATTGTTACATTCCAGTAAGTCTTCTGTGCATATGGTGTAAAGTTGGTTAATTACTAGTTTTGTCTTTGGAGCTATAGCTGCATTGTCTTTGGTTTCTTTGTTTGGGTTGGTTTGTGATTTTTTGCATTATCAGTGTTGCAAAATTGATGAGCGATTGCTCTGAGTGCAAAGAGAAAATAAGTATTTAAAGCCCTTTTCTTAGCCCAAGGAACAGGAACTGTTTTGCTATGTCGGTGAATAGGAAGCAGCTAATTACAGAAACCTCTTTAAAAGAATTGGACATAGAAAAAACTATTCTTTAAAGTGGCAGGGAGAAATGGGACCTTTGTGGTAAATAAGTTTGTTTCCAAGTAAACATAGTAGAATCCTACCCATCAGGATGGGAAGGGGTAGATTTTTATGAAGAATGCAATACAATAGTATTGTTATTCGCTGCTATGTAGAATTAGCATTTTAATTCCCTTTCTAGAAGGCTGAAAAAGCAATAATGAAGTATTTAGTAAGGAAACAACCTAAATGTGTTTTATACTGTTCCAAATGAATAAAACAGCAAAGTCATATTGAACCTTACAGGCAAAGACATTTATTTTGACACAGACTTTAATGCACTACAGCCCAAGAAGTGTTATTCTTAGTTGCAAATGCATATGTTGGCCTTCATCAACCTAGTATCATCCAGATGTTCTGGACTAGAGCTCGAAGAAGTCTTGATCATTAGCAGTGCTAGCTTGGGCTGATGGGAGTTAAACCACAGCATCTGAAGGATATTGCATTGGGGAAGGGTAATGTAGTCATGGGGGCAGGGCAGGTGCAATGGATTATAAATAATGAGGTTGAAAAGGACTGACTTGCAGAATGTGTAGTCTGTCATAATTATTTTACTTATAGCAAACATTTGCAAAACTAAATGTAAATAAAGTAACTATATAGGGCACTTCAAAGCTTTAATAACATTTTGGTAACCTTTTTCCTTCTTATGTAGATCACTATGCATCAGTGGAATGTAGTATAATTGTGTTTCTCTCAATTCTTTGAAGGTCACAAAGTATTAAACATGTGCTTGGGTATGGTCTCTAATTACTGTAATGACTTTAGTTATTGTCTTGAAACTAATAAAATGTTTTGAATTGCTTTGTTTAGACTATCTAGGAAGGATAAAAGTTTTTTGTGGGACAAACGCCATTACTGCTACACAGATGTAAATAGTCTTCCAAAGGTGTTAGCCAGTGCACCAAAATGGGATTTGTCATATCTCCCTGAAATATATTTACTGCTTCAGCAGTGGGCTCCATTACTTCCTCTGACTGCATTAGAATTACTGGACTACAAGTAAGAAAAAATATTAATTTAAATCACAAATGCATTGAAAAGTGATGAGGTTATAAGTGATTAAGCATTGCCTTCAGAATAAAAGTACAGGCTGTATTCATTAACTTACTGATAGTTTGTTGATTATTTATGTATTTATTTAAAACTTTTGGGCCCAGTCCTATACATTAAAGTCTCAGGACAGTCCGACAGCAAGAGCACAGCATAAAATCTATGATAAAAGCCCAACTAAAAAACCTAAGTCTTAAAATAATGGAAAAATAGAAAGATTTTGGCCTGGCGCTGAAAAGAATAAAGTGTCAGTGCCAGGCACACCTCTTGGGAGCATGTTCCACAGCCAGGGTGCCACCACAGAGAAGGCCCTTTTCCAGGTACCTACTCTCTTAATCTCTTTCAAAGAGGGCTCCCACAGAAGGACCTCCAACCCAGATCTCAAGGTGAGGTCAGGGAAAGAGACACTCCTTCAGATAACCAGTTAACAGAAACTTCTGTAGCCACATGAATGTTTGTTTAGAGGCCGTAAAATGATTACAGCAGGGGTCTCAAACTCAACTTACCTGGGGGCCGCTGGAAGTAGAGTCTGGGTGAAGCTGGGCCGCATCAAGTATTCCACCACCATGGTGGTGGTGGGCCGCTCATCCCGCGTCGCTTCCAGAGGCTGGCCCGGGCGCCGCCGGCGCTTCGAAGACCGCAGGGCCCCTCCCCCGTGCCCTGCCCGTCCCGGTGGGCCGCGAGTTCGAGACCCCTGGATTACATTCTCCTTTTGTAGAGCTTATAGTTCTAAATTGCTACTCATTTGCTAAGTCCACTGCCTGACCCTGAGCGTGCTGTGCCAGCAAATAAGTGGGATGGAGCATGGTGGCCACAACAGAACGCTGCAGTGTTTGTTTGTTTATTTATTTATTAAAACATTTTTATGCCGCCCCATTCGCCGAAGCCTCGGGGCGGCTTACAACAATGCTGACACTGAAAGTTCATTGTTCAGTGTTAATGCTGACACTGAAATAATATTATGCCAGTGTTGGCAGGGAGATGCACCACTGTTTAAGATAGTGAATATCATTTATCAGATCAATACAGCTTACAAGCAGAATTTCTTGATGGGGTATCTTTTGACAGAAGGACTTGCTAATTGTATTTTAATAAGTGCAGTTCATATCTTTTCATCTGTTGATATGAAGGGCAGCTTTTAAACCTTGACTTTCTCAGAATTATTTTAGCCGTTCCAGTAAGCTGGTGATGCTGAGAGCTCGCAAGACAATTTCCTCAGGGCTCTTAAAGAGTTGTATAGCAACTTTAGGTTCTTCCTCAGTAAAAATAATAATAATAATAGCATGCATCACAAAAACTTCTAGGAATGTACGCTCTTGTCAAATTTAAAGGAAGTACAGTTCATTACATATTTTATGGCCTATAGTTTTGCAGATCATGAAGTGAGAACAAAAGCTGTGCATTGGATTGAGGCAATAAGTGATGATGAACTTGTTGACATTCTTCCCCAGTTCGTGCAGGTGAGACATTTAAACATCTTGCAAAGGAAAAAAATAGTTATGGATTGTTTAACTAAAATAGTTATGGATTGTTTGCAAGTGTAATATTTTAAGCATTGTGACATTTAGGCCAATAAATCTGAACGGTAGTTTGTGATTTACATGGAGTGAGTAGTTGTAGACCAAAAAAAGAAACTGCACTTACCTAACTTTACCCTCCCCTGCTCTGCTCCCTAACTATGTCCATGTAATTCCATTTGGTTATTCTGCTACTTGAAAGCTGATCGGCCAGGATAATATTTGTTTCTGTTTGGATGTTATTCAAACCAATGAACAGTGCAGCACTATATTGGCTGCTTTATGCTTGCGCTGTTCCTCCCACCCACTCTCCTTCTGCTCTTGACAAGGGCCAGGGAAAAGAGGATCATGGAGGCTTAATTACCAGGAGAGACTCTGGGTGGATTAAAACCCAGTGCTTTGGTTTGTAAGCTGGACTTGGTGATAGCGAGCCCTCCTGATCCCCCTACTTCTGAAGGTGTGACACTATATGTGAAGCACCCAGGGATGCTTGCCTGGCACCAAATTTGTTGTTGTTGTTGTTTTGTTGTTGATTGTCTTACTGTTTTAAAGTCATTTTAAATTTAAAGTTAAATTTTTGCTTTCTAAAGTAATTTCACTTTTGCTTTCTAAAATTTCGTTTTGGAGTGGTGATTATGATTGCCTAATTGAATAGCAGCTTACAGATATACAAAGTTGCTCTGTTCCAGCAGAAGCACCTGTGAATGGAAAGCGGAGGCAGGCCATTTTTGCTGATTTCACTTTCCTTCTGCAGCCCCCTATGTGCCCCATCTACTCTAGGCAGTTGGGGGATCCTCTGGAACAGCACGGGAGCTGGGATAGAGTGGTGCAGAAGAGAGGAAGAATTTGCAAAAATCTGCTGTCTTCTACTTCTGTTTATGGAAGCCTCTTATGGATCAAAGAGCTTCTATGAATGGAAAGACAGCATTGGAAACACCCCTAAATAAATACATTCTTTTCTGAATGTCTTTTAACTCCATCATTGTTGAACAATCTTATATTCCCAGGGATAGTTGTGGGAATTGTTTCCCTCTTAAAATAATTCCAAAACTACAAATGTCTGGCTATACTAAGCTGCCTAAAGTTGTCTTCAGTTAGTATTACAGTTGCATGTTTCACTCCTGTTGTATAGTCCCTTAAATAGAGATCTGTTCTTAAATCTTAGCCTAGAACTCTGGATAAAACTGAATCTTTTTATATATATATTTAGGCTCTAAAATATGAAACCTATCTGGACAACTCTCTAGTCAGATTCCTTTTGGCCCGAGCATTAGGAAATATTCGAATAGCACACTATTTATATTGGTAAGAAGATTTACATTCTTTTTTGTTCTCTGTTCCTCATTCTTTCTATTTCTAGAATTAAGCAAATAGCTAATTTGAAAGTAAGTTTATTATTACAGTTCTTTATAGTACAAAAACTCTGTATTACCACAGCTGGTAATATTTTTAATTAGGTGTTTTAAAAAGAATCCTCTAGTTAACTTAGCCTGTACAGCTTTGGCTTTGGGGTGCTACAGAAATGAAATTAATAATGATGATGATGATAACAACAACAATGCTTACCTGTGAAAAAGTCCAATTGACTTAATTCTGAGTAGACATGCTTGGATTGTGCTTTTACTTGCTTTCTAATGTCCAGGATGTCCTCTCTCTCCCAGTGAGGCTATCCTAGGCTAGGCTGACCATGGTTTACATCAGCCTTTCTCAAACTGAGTGCATTTTACTATTCTGTATCTTAAACAAGGTTATACTTTGAAAGGAAAACCTACATACACAGGTGATAAAGTAATAAGGCATTCATATTATGTTCAGGTAATATGCCAGAGTCAATTTGAAGTGCAAGGATATAAATCTTTGAAATAAATGAATTATATGAAGACTGGTTTCTGTTGGTAGGAATCTTAATATAAAAAGTTGGTCTATTAGCACTAAAGGTGATACATGGTTCTCTGTAGAAGTGGAGAACTGCATGCTGCTGCACTGGAGTGGGTATCTTCACTCCTAAAGTAAATTCACGTTCTGCAGTCCTCATGCTGTAATCCCCCTATCACAGAACAGCCCTATGTATGTTTACTCAGAAGTAAGTTCCACTGCCTACATCTGCATGTCACACCTTGCTTGTATCTTGCCATATTAAACCATGATGTGTATATGCGTAGCATGCTGAAGTGCACAGCCTTTCTGTTCCTTCCTTGTGCAAGCCAATCAACACACCAGGAAGCTACAGCTTAGCATAGCACCCATTGAGATGGTTCACACAACATGACATCTGACAGTGGGCTGCCACCCTTGCTAGCTTGTTGTTATGTCCAGACCCAGTGTGGTTTCCTCGGTGTGGTTTGTTAACCATGCACAAGCCACCCAGAGATCCCATGACTTGTTAGATTGTTCAGGCTGGCCTGCTGTGGTGACTGCAGAGTGACTTCTGCATATTTTGTTGGAAAGGGTTACAAAGCAACCTAAAAAGAGTGATGAAAAATTTGGCCATTTGTTGCCATGTCTCCCACCCTTTGTTCTCCAGCTCAGCATTTCATTTGACAGCAGCCAGTTTTATCTTCCTGTGTGCCACATTAGTACAGCTATGTAAGTAGGCATGAATGGCTTACTCTGGGTGAGCATGTGTGTCCTGAATTTGGGACCGGGGGGGAGGGGTGGAATTTAAGCTTTCTCCCTTCCTATTTTCATACCAAAATTCCCCTGCCCCTTGCAGAGGATTTTTTAAAACATTCCACACACAAAGCGGGGCGGATTTGGGGTGAAAACAGGAGGAGGAATGTTTAAATCCCCCTCCCAAGTTGCCAAGGTGCTGATTTGAGTTGTACACACCCACCCAGAGGGAAGTTAGTCACACATACAGAAATAGCTTTGCTATAGAGAGGAACAGGGTGTGAGGAGTAGCTGGGGGCACCGTCGAAGTGTGAAAAGTAAATAAATCCCTTACCTACCTTGCTCTAAAAAGTAAGGTAAGCCCTTTCTCCACTCTGAGGAGATGGCCTATATATGTCAACATAGGTGCTTCAAAAGGCAAGAAGGGAGGCAGTGGAGTTGTGCCACAAAAGCCCCTGAGATATTGCTGTGATTGCCAAGTGAACTAACTACAGGTTGTCAGGTTGTCCAAACTTAAATTGTTTTCTACAGGCTCACTTATTTGAGGAGAAGAAACCACCCTGGCGGCCCATGGCTTGTTCAGGGGGTTGAGTGAACCACAATAGGTTCATGGAAACCCAAAGATTGATTCCATCATGGGTTGAGGGGATCAGCTAGTGAGGCACTTGACAAGAGCAGGAAAAACATCTGCCATTCTGTTGCTGCTGCCAGTGACAGTTTCTCCACCAGTGCAGAAGCAGCACATTGGAACAGCCTTCACTGTTTATCAACCATTTTCAGCCTCTAAAAATTGTGCAACTGTGCGTCTCACTTTTTTCATTATTACATTTGACGGTTTTAGCAGGTGTGCAAGTGTGTACATACAAGCCATCCAATACATATAGTCTTATTTTGGCAATGGTTTTCTAACTTTCAGCTTTCAAAGGGAGTAGGTAACAGACAAGACAAGAGAGTGTAGTTTGTGCACTGTTAATTGAAATGTGGGCAGCGGGGCTGACAAAAGTATCATTCCATTAGCAACAGTATCCTCCAGCTTTTGCATGTTGAACTGACCATTCTTATTGTCTATCATTTCAACACTTCCCTGAGTTTACAGCTGGTGCAGAAATTAGAGGTAGTAACTCCCACACACACTTACTGCTGTGGTTTCTGCAGGTTCAATTCTGGTATTCTGCAATACCAAAAATATACTGAGGAGGCAGTTGAATGGGATTGAGTGAATGGTACTCCTTTTGGAGGCAAAGTGTAAGTATTGCTGATTCCGATACACCATTTGCTCCATCCCATTTTGCCATCTTTATTTTTGTTAACAGTTGAAAATATTTGTGCATTTTTGGGACTGGGAAACCTATGCAAATTTAATAGCTAGGAAGTAAACAAAGGGGTATTTGTGCCCATTTAAAGGTAGGGCAGCATATAGAGGGGAAGCTTCCCACCCCAAAACAATGTTTTTATTAGAAGTATATACTGCAGTGCTTTGAAAAGCATCTTAAAGGATTAGAATAAGTTAATATTGGTCCTTTCTGGATCTGCTGAAAACTTGGGAAGTGTTGCAAAGGTATAAGGCATTGAGAACTATCAGTTCAGCATTTAAAAGTTAGAAGATCACATTGTGAAGGGGAAATATTGTCACCATCCCCTCTGGATGAATCTACTTTTCTATTTTATTTTCTGTTTTGGTTGACAGGCAATTGGCAGCTGGCAAGCGTGCACAAATTAATTTATGTAGTCTTGCTATATCATTTTCCATGTATGTTACCTACTGTGCTTACTTCACTTAATTGGGCAGTGAAAGATTGACAAATAAGTTAGGACTAACAGTTGTTAAATTTTTAGGGGCCAAACTAATATGAACTCATTTGTGCATTTTTTGATTTTTTTTAAGTCACTGTGAATTAAAGAGGGCAGCAGTGGGAGTGGGGATGAAGCAACTAGACAGGTTTTCCTGTGAAGGGCATTGGGATACTAGCTGGAAGCCTGAGAGGGATGGAGTGGGAGAATAAGCCGCGGTCAGCCAGATTGTAGCATATTTCTAGGTTGGCTTGCATGATACGGCCACTGTCTGTTAGCAGCAGCAGCATGGCTTAGCAGGCAATTAACCAATCTACCACAGCTTGTTTTCAGTGGCATGCAAACTGGCCCATTATATGTAAGATCAGTACTATGGTTAATTGCCACCAAAGGCAGCAGGTTTCATAAGCAAACGTCAGTTCTTTGTTTAAAGCAGGCTTCTGCTTGTTTCAGAGAAATCAGCCATAACAAGAATATATGGTTAATGGAGGCTTCCTGGTTTGTTTCCTCAGTTGTGCAAGGGGGAAGTGAAATGGGAATTGAGCAAATTGTGTGCACCAACATGTTGCTTGTGTGTATCATGGTTATATATGCCAGGATATTTATGGCTTTTCATGATGTACAAATGTAGCTAATGTAGGTCTCTTCTGTGGAATTACAACCTCTCTTCCCTTCCACCCTTTCTTGTACTTTTGCATTATATATTACCCTGTGTTGCATTACTTTAAAACCTAGTAATTGTAACAGAAATTTAGTAACTAGGGTATATGTGTACACATTTAGTAAAGGAAGCCAATCCAATTTTCTGTAATATTTCAGGTTACTAAAGGATACCTTGCATGACATCAAACATGGCATGAGGTATGAGCATATCCTTGGTGCCTTCCTTTCAGTCTGTGGGAAAAGACTGAGAGAAGAACTGGAAAAGCAGACGAGACTGGTACAAATACTAGGAATGGTGGCAGAAAAAGTAAAACAAGCAAGTGGATCTGCCAGACAGGTTTGTTAAACTAGCAGGTTTTGTGTGTGTGTGTGTGTCAGTAGGAGCCAACTCACCTAACAAAATTAATGGTTGCTGTGTTCTCATGTTACATTTCTGTTCAAGTTCAATAAATAAATGATATATGCTTATATTCAGAGTGGGATTATTAGGTTAGCATTTTATTCATTTTGCAAAGTTCTGAGTTTTGTGATTATGGACAAAATTTATAAACAAAAAAGCATACCTTTTTGTGGCTATCCCACAAGCCTGACTATTAGAACATTGACTATCTGTATTAGAGTACTGGAAGATCGTGGCCTCCATTGATTATTAAAATATTTGTCAATATTTGACTTAAGTAAATTTTAATCATGTATTGTTTATTAACAGATTGCCTTGCAAAGTGGAATGGAACGTGTCCAGTCCTTTTTCTTAAAAAACAAATGTCGTTTGCCTCTCAGCCCCAGCCTTGTAGCTAAAGAACTTAATGTCAAGGTATGGTATACACATACACACCAATTTAGTAAAATGTGCATCTATCTATGTTAATACCTGTCAGGCTTATCATAAGGTGGGAAAAACAGAACTATTAGATAACTTATATAAAACTTTTACCATCCACAATACATCACTTTTATGGCATTTATACATGAATGAATGAATGGATTGCTTTTCATTTGGATTTGTAGTGTTGTATATGCTTACTTTTGCATCATTATTTGTATTCTTAGAAATCTGCTTATAATCTTTGTAATTTTAATATGAAAGTATTAGAAAGTATTAGAAAGTATTAGAAATATGTAATTAGAAAGTCATATGAAAGTAAATCTTGTGGTAATATAATGTAAAATGTCTTTGGCAGGCATGTTCCTACTTCAGTTCTAATGCAGTACCTCTTAGAATAGCTCTGGTGAATGCAGATCCCTTGGGAGAAGAAATTAATATAATGTTTAAGGTACATTTTTCTGTTTAAGCTAAAGGAGAGAGAGTTTTGCTATAATGGAAATTCTGTTAATCTTGTTATTTTGAAACTAGTGCTCTTTATGGTGCATACCTGATGTTCCTCATGCATGCAATTCATTTTTATATTTAGAAGTTGATGCTTTTTTTAATGTTCAGATCAGACTTAGCGTTAGAAAGAAGCTGTATCTTTGAGATACATGGTATAAGGTTATGTTAATGGTCCATCTGTTCAAAACCACTTTAAATATATTTGTAATGATATATCTAATTTTGTGTACACAGTAAAGCTTTGGAAGGGTTTCCTCAAGCAAACAAAACTTAATTTCCTTTCTTCTCCTTCTGCTCCAATGCTATCACACAAACCACTTTGAGATTCTTGCATTTCAAACAGTATGTGAGCTGGTGGAGGGGCTTTCTAATATAATCAGATGTGCTGCCCTTTGTGCTTTAATGTGTAAACATTTCATATATGTTCTGTAACTTTATCAAATGATGTCTTACTGAATTTCTCTAGTTTAAATACTGGAAGAACAAATGTGAATTTCTTAGGAAATGTTTTGTTTCTTTGCACTATGGATAAAGGCTAGGAACAGGGCTGTCCAGATTTTTACTCTTGTCACATGGCAATGAAACTGTGATTGCTAAAATATTATTCTCTTTTCTGAGCTTTTGAAGGCGTGGCCAGTCAAGTCTATCTTTTCCACATTAACCACTAATAATTTATTATGAAGAACTAGTATCTGTACTGGTTAGTGTTCTAGTCCCCACTAAGTGATGAAATTCATTGGCTTAATTTGGGGCAGTCATTCACTCTCAGCCTAACCTCCCTCACAGGGTTGTTATAGGGATAAAATAGAGGGGAGGGCTATATAAATTGGGTTCCTTGCAATAGGAAAACAGTGCCTATAAATGTGGTAGCATTAATAATATAATAATCACCATATAGAATTCCATAGCCAAGATCCATGTCTACTTTTCTGTAGATAAATGGTAGAGCATGCAGAGCCCAGTCTAATAAGGCTTATGTGTCTTGAAATTCCTTCAATTTATTTGCTTCTCTTTTAGGTTGGTGAAGATCTGCGGCAAGATATGTTGGCATTGCAAATGATAAAAATTATGGATAAGATCTGGTTACAAGAGGGACTTGACCTGCGGATGGTTATCTTCAAGTGCATTTCAACAGGCAAAGATAGAGGTATAAACAGTCTGTACTTCTTACAAATTGTTATCCAGATCTTGTTCTCCTTTTTAATTTCCCATAGGAATTTATTTACTTAATTTATACATGTATTTATAGGCCGCTTATAACTGCTGAGGCCTTCCTGGCAGCTTTAGCATGAGTTATCTAATTCTCTCATTTAGGAATGACAGCTTTAGCATGAGTTCTCTAAAGCCCCTGCCTCTAAGCACCCCGACATTTGCAAATCAAATTTTGCAACTGTAGTAGCATTGGTGAAAGATGATATGGCTTGGCTGAGTGATATACTTGCAAAACACGTCTGCTGGTCTTGAACACTGACATTTCTTGTAGTTCCAACTGTGTCAGAGATCAGCTGGAGTATTAACATGGACTCTGAAGAAAATGCTACCCCATGTGGAGAACCTCAAATATAGGGCTGGAGAGGAGGACTGGGAGCTCTGAGTTGTAGGGATTCTGCAGCAGGCACATTGTATGTCTACGAAATTATAATGTGGCTAATTATCATTTTGGTTGCTTACTACTGTTGATTTCATTCAGTTATTGAGTTGATTTAAGGATCAGCCAGCATTTGCCTTTTTTGTATACTAAACATCTTTATAGTCATTTATTAAAACACAGCTAAAACTTTTGTAAAATAAACAAAAGTAGAAATACTTTATGATTAATGGTATTTGTCAACAAACAGTTTAGAATATTTCTTTAAAATATTTGAAGTTAACCTTAACTAAATGTACAATAAAAATGGAATAGAAATTCTGACTGAAGTAAATATATTTGGCTTGTTAAATTAAAGGAATGGTGGAGCTTGTTCCAGCTTCAGATACACTTAGGAAAATTCAAGTAGAGTATGGAGTGACAGGATCCTTTAAAGATAAACCCCTTGCAGAATGGCTAAGAAAATACAACCCTACAGAAGAAGAGTATGAAAAGGTAATTTCTGTATGTCTTTACGTATTAATTTTCTGTACTGCCCAATAGCTAGATCTTCCTGTTTAGAACATAAACTTGTCATGGTTTGTGATTGACAGTAGTAGCATTACTACTGGGGGAAATAGAAAGCCCAGCTTCAGTGCCAGCATCAGAAATAGGGGTGGAAAAACCCTCTACCTGTGATTCTAAAAACTATTCCTTAAAAAAAGTTGGATTTGACTTGGTATAGGTAGACATAAGTTAAAATTTGTGACAGAAGATTTATTCTGAAAAAATGAAATCCCTTCCTGAGATTTTGAAAAAAGTTTTAGAAACATCTGTGTAGTAAAAAAATTAAGTAAAATTTTTACTGTAATTTTGGTGGATAACATTTTTGTTTCTGGCACCACCTAATGGCTAGATGTAACATTCTGCACATATTGCCTGATTGTTTAATTTGTATGAGCCTTCTATTTTTTAAAAAAGTGAAATCTTAAAGATTATCCCTCCTATATCCCTTCTTAAAAAGCTTTAAAAACCTACATGTAGTTGACCATATTGCCCTATTAATTAATTCCTTTTCCAAAATGACTGAAACAAAACTAAAACAGTTCTCCAAGTTATCTTTCTTTCTATCTAACTATTTTTGAATATATAGGCTACTGAATAGTCTTCTAAGGGCTCTCTAAGTGGCTAACAACATTAATAACAGCCTAACAGTACAATTCTAAGTAAGGGGCAAGCAGGGGAGATCTGTTAGTAGCAGGGTGACCTTTTACCAGGTGTTGTCAGGTTTCAAAATACCTTTGAAGGCAGTTTTTGCCTGATGCCAAAATGAAAGTGATGACACAAAGTAGACCTCTTCAGGAAGCCCATTCCAAAGGTGGGAGGCAGCCACTGAGAAGGCCCTTCTCCCAGTTGCCATCCCTAGTACTTCCTTTAGGGATTTCTCTTTCAGAAGGACCTCATTCACAGAGCTTAAAGGGTATGTAAGAATATATAGGAAAAGGCCGTCAGGGTCTCTTGAACCTCATAAGGCCATACGTAGTTATCATAATCATCACAGCTGGAAAAAAAACACTCCTAGCCACCAAGTCTACCTGAGACTTCAATGAAAGTTTTGAGTCCAGGAGCGCTCCCAAGTGGAGACCCTGTCCTTTAGAGGAAGTGCAACCCCATCCAAGACAGGACAATGGCTATCTAATCTGTCAGACAGATCATCAACCAGCAGCACTTCCATCTGGCCTGGATTGAGTCAGTTTATTGGCCCTCATCCAGTTCATTACTGAACTCAGACACTTGTTCAGCACTGAGATTGCCTCACCTGAATTTGATATAAACAAGAGGTAGAGCTTAGTGTCATCAGTATACTGCTGATACCTTAGCCCAAATCTCCTGATGACCAATCCCAGTGGTTTCATGTAAATGTTGAACAGCATGAGGGATAGTACAGAGCCCTGTGGAACCCCATAGAATAACCACCATCTGGCAGAACAGCCATCTTCCAGCACCACCTTCTGGACACAGGTAGGAGCAGAACCACTGTAAAACACAGTTCCCATCCTGGCCAAACTATTTAGAATGGCCACCATGATCAATGGTGCAGAAAGCTGCTGAGAGGAATCAGCAGGGCAGACTCTCCTTGTCCCTCTCCTGACAAAGGTGTTGGTGGTGGTTGTTTAGTTGCAAAGTTGTGTCCGACTCTGCAACCCCATGGACAACATTCCTCCAGGCTTTCCTGTCTGAACACCGCTCGTTCCAATATCTTAACTCAAAAAGGGGTGGTTTGGTACTCACTGGTAGTTGGCAAATATCCCTGGTCCCAGGGCGGATTTTAAAAGAGAGGTCTTATTGCAGCCTCCTTTAAGGAGGCTGGTACTATCCCTTCTCTCAGGGAGGCATTATCAGCCTCCTGGACCCAGGATCAAATCCTCTCTTTAGATTTCCTAATGATCCATGATGGGTAAGGATCAAGTGGGCACTGGACAGGGGGTGGGGCATCCCAGGGGGTGGGATGAACAGAGTCAAGCACCTTGTGCACATCCTTGGGCCACAGTAAACTGAAACTCATTGTGCAAAACGGGATTAGAAGACATCCGTAGGTGGAACTGAAACAACTGTGAAAACCAACTCACAGTGGATTTGAGTGATTTTTTTCCCTCAAAGTGCATAGCAAATTCATCACGTGAGTCATCAAGTGTTCTGGAGTCCCATCTGGTGAACCAGATTGCAGGAATCCCCAAGCAATAGTTCAGTTGGATGGCACTGTGAAGAAGTAATAGAGGAGGCAAAATATAGTCATTTTGCCAGCTTTTTCACCATGGAATAGGCTCAGTAGTGAGCTCTGTCAGATTGGTCAGACTTGTCACAAGATTTCCCCCTCTTGTACTTTAGCCATCTCCCTTGCTTAATCACCCTAAGGTCTGGTGTATACTATGGATCCAGCTGTGTTCGAGGAAGCATAGGTGTGATCATGTCAGCCGCCCTGGTCATCTCACTGTTCTACAAGGTTATCTGGGCTTCAACAGGAGTGCCTACCATATCAGCAGGATATTCCCTCCAGAGCTTTCTGGAATCCATCCAGATTCATCAGTCTCTAAGGGTGGACCATTCTGATAAGTCTTCCACCCTTGTGGAGAGAGGGGGCACCCAACTGTCTGAATCTCACTGTGAAGTGATCTGACCATGGCAACGGAGTTAAAGCTATCCCCTCCACATCAGGACCACCATTCTCCTGCCCTGTCGAAAAAAGCAGGTCAGGAGTGTGACCTTTTTCATGCATTTGGCTGATGACATGTTGAGACAGTCCATGGTTGTCATGGTGGCCATGAAGTTCTGAACTGCCTCCAGGACTAGCATTCTAGGGGTCTTCAGCACCAGGTCTGAGACTACCTGTTAGCTCAGGTAGGGAGACTGCTGGGCAACAGGGTGGATGATATACTAGCAAAATCCCCAATCTGTCTCGAGAACCCAACACACAGTAAAAACACTCAAGACCAGATTCTGAGGAGACAAGAAGTCTGGAGAGTAAGAATGAGTTTTTATAATCTAAGGCCACTCCACTTCCCTGGTGCTGTATGATGTTGGTGCTGTATCAAGTACCTAGGTGGGCATACCTTAGAAAGAACAACTTTTTCGGCCTCTCCCACCCAGGTCCTGTTTTGGACCAACCTAGCATTCTGTAACAGCGCCACTAGACCCAGAGTCTGGCTGAAATGGTTACCTGTTAATACTTGTTTGTGGGTAGAACTAGAAGAGGGAACAGATATTGAATATCTGATCTCCTTCACAGGTGTGTTAACCCCCCACCACATTTCCCTCTGCCTATCACCACCCCAGTGACTGCACCCCTCAGCTCTCCATTGCTTCCCTAATCCATAAGGTTCACCTGAACCTGACTCACCAACAGATAAGAAATTCTTAGGGGTGGGAGGAAAGGAAGGGGGGAAGCCTGAATCACCCAGAACAATTATAAATACTGACCCCGCAGAAGCTGTATCCAGTACGCAGTGCAGACAGGGAAAAAAATAGAGGTTTGTGGAAGGGAGACAAAGGGGCAGCGGAAGAAGGAAGGAAGGAACTGAACTGGTGCCAAAATGGGTTCTAAACCAGCAATCCCCTTTGATATCACCCTTTGGCCGCCAACCTTGCTGTGGAGCCAACCAAGGAGGTGTGTGTGGCAGAAGCCCCACCCCCTGTCCAGTGCAGTGTTCCTTTGTGGACTGGAACAGTCGGTTGTGGTGGCTTGACATGATGAGGCACAGGCCGCAATGACCCTGTGCATTGACAAGGCACTGCACTCCACTGGCTATCTCTGGGGCCATTGGCATGGGGGGCAGCAAAGGAGGCATCTGTGGCAGAAGTCCCACCTTCTGCCTAGTGAGGTGTTCCTGCATGGACTGCAGTGCTCTGGTGTGGCAGCCTGGTGCAATGAGGAGGTGCAGGATGCAATGACCACCAGCCCAACAACCCTGCATAATAGCAAGCCACAGTGCTCCACCAGCAATCTCTTCCTCATGAATGAATAATAGTTTTGCTAGCAGAGCTATTTTCTGCATGTTAAACCAAGGAATTCTCAAAGTAGCAGACTGGATATAATGTGACATTTATTTTTCCTTATTTTAGGCTTGTGAAAACTTCATCTATTCTTGTGCAGGATGTTGTGTAGCTACCTATGTCCTGGGGATCTGTGACCGTCACAATGACAACATAATGCTTCGAAGTACAGGGCATATGTTCCACATTGATTTTGGAAAGTTTTTGGGCCATGCGCAGATGTTCGGGAGCTTCAAGAGGTATGCTATGAAAGCATGAGAAAAACATGTAAAATTAATTTTCTCTCACTTTGGTGTTTTGGAAGCAGCACTGCTGACTTTGTGCACAGATGAGCTAGGTCAATAACTTTATTTTGTAGTATCCTCTACTAGCTGCAACTTTTATTTTAAAATGCTGTTGCGTATGAAAGGTTCTAGTCCTGTGAGATGGCATTGGAGTATTCTTCTATGCTTTTACATGGGTTTTGATGTTTCTAATTTCAGTATTTCTATAATTTTAATAATCTACTAATTTAATTATATTTTATCTTTTACATATTTTATGAATGTTTAAATTATATAAGCTTTTAATATTGCAAACTGCCTTGAATTCCCAACACTGGGAACGGGGGGATATAGATAAATATAACAACAATAAAAATAAAGGCAAAACTTCCATTTAGATTCTGCATCTGAAAACCTGAAGATATATTTGATAAACTAAGTCTACTTATTTTTCAGCCATTACATTTTTCAAAGAGCAGGAAGGGACATTTAGGCAGGAAGCACTGTAGCTGTTACTTTCTCCGTTCCACAGTTTTTATGTCTTGCTGTTTAATGGGGATTCCTTCCAATTGTCAGGGTTCACTTGGGCTATATGCAGTAATGTCATGACATCACATGTCAGATTTGTCTGTGAAAGTAATTCACAGCTAAGTCAGATTAAATGTACTGCTTCCAGCTTTCATTCTGAATAAGCCAATACTTTTCTGGTATTTTACATGCTGCAAAGCAGTTACTGAAATGAGGTAGTTTGGCCATGATTTGTTGCGTTTCTATTTCATTTCATTTTATTTTTAAGCCCATGGTTTGTTGTTGACTTAACTATACGTTGTTTAATCCAACAACAACCCAGAGTTTCTCAATTCACATGTCACCAAAACCTTAGAAACAGGTATATGTTCTTAATGATCTCTGTCAGACACATAGATAGGCTTTTCACCCATGCGGAGCTTGTTTTGGGAAGATTTCATAGTTGAGATGTGTTGGCAGGACCCCTGGTGTGTGGGAGGGGTTCCCACCCAATCCTCAGTTCTTCATCTGCCACCATGGGTGCATCGGGAATTTCTTTCTCCACATTCTCGTAGCTGTCCTTGCCTTTTAAAAATCCTTTTACTCCTCTCCTGTCTCCTCTTAAATTCTTGCTTGTCCTAATTATTTTTACCAAACTGCCTTCCATCTTAATTCCTTCTGTATAATATCTCTCTACATCTAGATCCTGTCACCACCTTGTCCTCTCCAATCTACACTTTTCAGCCTAACCTACTTCAGCTCCTCTTTCCACTTTCTGCCCAACAATGGTGCTCAGATCACCATTCAGAAAGTTTGTCTGTTGTGGCAGCAAACTGCCCCTAATGGGCAGCCATTCCCTATGCTGCTGCTGCTGCCGCCGCCTGGGAGAGAACCACATTTTGGAGGCTTTCACCAAGCAGGCCAGGACGCACAGGGCCTACCACATCAGGCACAAACTATGGAACAGGACCTTGCTCAGAATCAACCTCTCCACACCCATTGAATACCCCTTCTCTCCCCACCAGCTCCATCTGTTCCAACCATGGCCACAGCAACCACCATGAATGTCCCACCAATGCTGGGACAATCTGTCAAGCTCCAACGTAAAGTACTAGAGAGGCAAAAATGGCAGACCCAGCTATAAGAACCCAAAATAATCTTTCAGTACTGAGGAAAGGTCCTCCATCTGGAGGTTCACACCCTATGCCTCACAGCCTGGAGAATCCAGTTCTAATTCCAAGCATAGTTGACTTGCTGGAGAACCTTCACCCTATATTAGAGGTGATTCTACCATGCTAAGCAGAAGACCTTCCCCAGCTTTGCTTCCCAACAAGGCTTCAATCTGTTTGGGTGCCCAGTACAATCCCTCTTCATCTTGAACTCCCTGTTTCAGAGTGAGCTCAAGACAGCATCCATCTGTGTCTATCTGGCCACTCTCCAGTTCAGGGCCTCTACCTTAACTCACCTGCCAGTTCTTTTGGAGCCTCAAGAACTTCTCTCCACCAGTCTGCCCCCAGTGCCAGCCTGGAGCTTTTCCATCATCTCCGCACTATCACAAAAACACTTCAAACCCATGGCCACAATGGGCCAAAGCCTACTGTCCTGAAAAACCACCTTTCTGGTGGTAATCACCTCAGTCTTTTGCTCCAGCAACCTTGCTGTGAGTGGGCCCACCATACCTGAATTACCACAAAGACAAGGCTGTGCTCTTGCCCAGATCCCTGGTCTCTAACACTCTGGACTGCTCCTCGCCCTCAGTGCAGGCAGTGGCAACCTCTGCAGAGCTCCACGCCAGCATAAGTTTGCCTGACCTCTGCAAGATGGCCACTGGTCAAACCTATCAAGTTTCAATGCACTATTGCCTTGACATGCATGCTAGATTAGATTGGACCTTTGGCAGAGCCATTCCATTTTCAGGCCTACAGTAGCAACACTGCCTGCCTCCAGAAGGTAAGATTGCCAGTCACCCATATGTGTGATGCACAGAGACCATGAAGACCAAAGTACAGTTGCTTACTTGTAACTGTTGCTCTTTGAGTGATCATCTGTGCATTTATACAACCCACCCTCCTTCCCTCTTCGGCGTCACTTGTTGATATTGCAGCAGTCCTGATCTGTGTGACGGTCCATGAGCCTGCCGTTCTTGACACTGGACCACATTGCCAGCCTCATGTTACTTAAACTGAAGAATGGGTGGGAACTCCTCCCACAGGGTGGGGCCAAAGGGAGGGGTTCCTGCCAATCAAATCTCAGATACACAATCTTCCCAGAACAGGCTCCAGGCAGGCACAGAGCCCATACGTGTGAATGCATAAATGACTACTCAAAGAATAACAGCTACAAGTAAGCAACTGTACTTTCTTAGGTTGCTGAGTTGCAGGAGTAATAGTTGCAGGAGCAACTATTGTGTTTCATTTCTCCTACATTTCCTGGGTGTGACCTGGGTCACATTGAGACTGTACATTGTGTTTTGCTGATTTTCTACTTTGTTTATTCAGGAACTAGATAAAATCTTTACTATGCAACACTACACTTTAATGAGACTTTGAATTAAACAAAATCCCTAATAGACTAGAAGGATAGAAAAATTATTATTTAAAACTCTATGTATTTCATTTTTTTCTTTAAAAGGGATCGGGCTCCCTTCGTGCTGACATCAGATATGGCCTATGTAATCAATGGTGGTGAAAAGCCTACTATTCGGTTCCAATTGTTTGTTGATCTTTGCTGCCAAGCTTATAACCTGATAAGGAAAAGAGCCAGCATTTTTCTTAATCTTCTGTCACTGGTAATACTTCCATATTGTCATAGATACATTGTTATAAATCAGCTTACATTTTAAAATAGACATCTTTGTGCTTAACAACAACCATGTGGTGTTCAGCCACAGGAAACTTATAATGACTGTGTTCCTTAAATGGGAATTTTATTTAAGCTATAGCACATTTTGTTATTGCACAGATAAGTAACTGATTGTATCTGTTTGCTCTGTAGATGCTCTCATCTGGGTTACCGGAACTTACTGGAGTTCAAGATTTGAAATATGTGCAAGATGCTCTTCAGCCCCAAACCACAGATGCTGAAGCTACCATTTTCTTTACAAGGTACCAATAAATATGTTTTAAAACCATTATGCTTGTGTGCTCATATCAATTTTAATAAATAACCTATAGAGGAATTTCATCTTTGCAATAAAAGGAGAATGAATCTGATATATATGTACTGATATCTTTCCATTTGTGTCTTTGTGGTGCAAGAATGTAGCTTCTTAGTCTTATTTGCACATTTAATTATGTATTTATTTAAAAATACAGTAAATACTATATTATGCAAATAAGGCTAGAGACCTCTGCTTATTCCATACATGTATTGTTCCATTAGCTCTGTCAGGTGATTTCAAATAAAATAATTACTTCATTTCCCATGTTTTGTTGTTGCAGGGAATGAGGTTGAGATGAAGCTGAAGTTTTCTGCTTCCTTATAATCAAAATCCTTGTGTGTTTTCTTTGTTTTTAGACTAATTGAATCAAGTTTGGGAAGCGTTGCCACAAAGTTCAATTTCTTCATTCACAATCTTGCTCAGCTGCGATTTTCAGGCCTGCCTTCCAACGATGAGCCCATTCTCTCCTTTTCTCCCAAAACATACTCACTTAAACAAGATGGCCGTATCAAAGAAGTATCTGTCTTTACATACCATAAGAGATACAACCCAGATAAATATTATGTAAGTATAGATTATATTCTGGTAAAATATGTATTCTGCAACTACTAATGGTGTTCCTTGCTATCATTTGCTGTAATCACCTTTTCAGTTACAGAGATTCATATTATTATTATTATTATTATTATTATTATAACATTTCTATGCCGCCCCTTGCCGAAACCTCGGGGCGGCTTACAACATGATAAAATACATTGAAATACAATAGTACATAATAAATTACCATTAAATATAACAATACAAAAAATACATTGATTTACAAATACAAAATTAAAATTATCAGTATAAAATAAAAATATAGGAGGAGAAAGAGAAGGAAGAAGAAGTTGCCCAGGCCAGATCATACTCAAGTTTCAAAGCTTTGCTATTTCCATTTTAGATTTAATGCTACTTGTTGAGCTCCAAGTCAGAAAATGTTTTTTTTATTACATGAATGTAGTAGTCATACTGGAGGCACATTTGAATTAGTGAAACCCATACCAGTTAATTAAATTTATTATGCTGGGATGTACAGAACTGTCGGAAATGGGGCAAGATCAGCTCCAACTTTCACCATTGTTCCCAGGGTAATGTAGCAGAGAGATAATGAAGTTAGTGTTTGGATATCTGCTCTCCCTTTTTTCTGCCTTTCCCGTTCAGATGCATAACATACTTCTATTACAACTAATATGAAACCAATGGCTGCCTTGAAAATAGCCAGGCATCTATACTGTTGTTTCCCTTGATCTCATTAATTAAAGTACCTTTCCTGTCTTTCCTTAAAAGTTCTATAAGAATGCTGAAAAATAATAATCCTGAGGAAAGGGAATGCTGTAGGTACAATTGCATCACAAGTATACTGAAATTATTCTTTTTGCTTCCCTTCATTGAGTGATGGGAAATAGATGCAGCAGCGAAGTGCATTTTTAATTTGCTGAAATATTTCCTTTCTGATTTGGCAGATCTACGTTGTCAGAGTTTTAAGAGAGGGGCAAAATGAACCTACATTTGTTTTTCGGACATTTGATGAATTCCAAGAATTGCACAACAAGCTTGGTATCTTATTTCCTCTTTGGAAATTGCCAGGGTATGTTCCTGAAATTGTGTGGGTGTTTGTGTGTAATCAAAAAGAGCTGGTGTTTCAAAACAGAATTTACAGAATGTGTCGCTGTGTTCACAGTAATTTTTCTCTCTGGCAGTAATGACACAGTTAACACATTGTCAATTGTGAAGCAGGAGAAAGCATGCAGACTCGTTCCTATGCATGAGCTCCTGCTGTTATAAACTGGCTTGACATTGGAAGTGTGAGAGCCAGTGTGATGTGGTAATTAAGAATGTCAGACTAGGAACCTGGAAGATCCTGGTTCTAGTACCCAGCCAGCCATGAAGTTAACTGGGTGACTTTGAGCCAGTCACACTCTCTTAGCCTAACCTACTGAACAGGGTTGTTGTGAGTTAAAGTGGAGCTGTGTATGCCACCTGGGGTTCCTCACAAGAGGAAAAGAGGTGGGATATAAATGCAATATAATAAAGTTGTTAAAGCCAGGAATGCACTTTTCCCGGGTATGTTAATCATGACCTTTGAACACTGTCATGTACCAGAATGAGCAGCAAATAGTTTGTACTTAAGTGTTTTCAGCACTTCAAAGTTAACAGACTTGAAAACATTCATACTAGACAGTGATTTTTATCTGCAACCTGAGAACAGTTTAGATGGACATATCAAAGATCAAACCTGGAACCTTAGTTATACAGAGTGAGTGACCTGCCATTGAGTAGTAGCCCTTTCTTGTGATCTGAAGTTGGCATTCTGGGATCAGTGTAAGTGTAAGGTTTCATGAACTTGTTTCTCTGTGTTTGTGGCACTCATTCTAGAAGTTATGCTGTAGGTGTACAACACCTTTGTTTTAATAGGCTCTGAAGGAAGATATTAAAGGAAGATAGTATTGATTTTGTAATTTTGTAATTTATCTGAAGCCTTCGCATGTTTCAGTATCTCCTTAAGTCCTGTTTTGCATGTTCTATAAGTTACTCCCTAGCCAAGCAAAACATTTTCTGAAATTAACTTAAATGCCAGCCCTAGTCAAAGATCAATACTTACCTTTCCTGGCACACTTAAGCAAAGGGCATGGACATTCAGGATGCAAAACTCGTACATAGTAAACTACAGGGACCTCATGATAATGTGTGTGTGCTCAGTAATAGCTGTTAATGGATTCACATGAACTTGCAGTTCTTCTAAGAGATAAATGCATATAGAAATTCACTTTCCTTTTGGGCTATAACAGCTGCTGGTGTTTCAACATCTGTTATCAGTGATTTCACAGATGGCAACAGAGAAAGAAATGGCAAATTTTTCCAAATTGTTCAACAAAATGTTTATGGCTGTTTAGAGCATCTGCATTGCCATGTTATCTTACACTTGAGTGTTTTTATAGAGTAGCAAATATGAGACAGTTCACAAAAGGGTTGGCAGTGTTCCTGCAACTCTACTGTAAGACATCTCAGCCTTTTGGACTAACTCATAGATTGTATCAATATCTGGTATATATCTAGTAATTTGCCTCAATGAAAGGCAAATACTATATGTTAACACTAACTATTGCTGTCTCTGGTTGTATCTATATTGCAGCTTCCCTAATAAGATGGTCCTGGGAAGAACTCACATCAAGGATGTAGCAGCCAAGAGGAAAGTAGAGCTAAACAGCTACATACAAAGTTTAATGAATGCATCAACAGATGTATCAGAGGTGATTCTATAAACTGTACAAATGTCCTTACTTTAGGGCTCTGTTTTGGGTATACTCAGCTAGCAGTAACATTTTTGTCTTTCCAAATCCAGTGTGATCTTGTTTATACATTCTTCCACCCTTTACTTCGTGATGAAAAAGCTGAAGGAATTGATGGAATAGCTAAATGTCCAGGTAGGAATTTTGTTTTTAGAGGAAGGAGTGTAATCTGGGTCACTGTAATGAAAATAATTCTATCATAAAAAAGGAGAAAAGAATCTGTGCAGGCAGGAAAATGACTGTATTGAATTTACCTTTGACCATTCGTCTCACTTTTAATAATAGATTTCCAGATTCTCCTAGCTGGCATAGAAGAATTCCACAAAAAGAGTTTTAATACTTTTTTTTTTTTTTAATGTGCTTTACGTTTCCCTGGAAAAAAGCTTGGATCAAATATATGCATATTAGATTTAAAAAAAGTTCAGGATTTTGCCTTTAATTTCCATGTGTATTGCTTTCTCCTTTTTTAACCCTCCTTGTTTATTGTACCATATGTTCAGTAAAAAGCATAAATTTCAATAAATGCCATATTTTGCCTTTGTAAGTTCTTGCTAATAGGATCAGCACAACAACCTTTTCATTCAAATATTAGCATAGGCATATTTCTAAATTTATCTTTATTTTCAGTTCTTTGGAACATTATTAAATCACAAAAAACTTTAGATAAAGCAGTTAAATGTTTCGATAAAGAAGAGGTAAATTTGGTTTTCTAATAGGATGGACATTATTTGTTCTATTCTGTTCAGCCAGACCTATCTAATAGCCATTTCCTTGCTTACAGCTTACTAGATTATTTAATAGTAACATTGCATGACTGATGTCCCCTAATGTGGAATGTGTCCATTTGGCCTCTTGTAAAATATAATTTTACCTTTTTTTTTTTTTAAAGATGTAAGCCCTTCAAGTCCCACCTCAGGCAAAGTCGGAGGAGAAGTTAAGTTATCCATCTCCTATAGAAACAGTACTCTGTTTATCATGGTGATGCACATAAAAGATCTGGTAAGTACAAGAATTAATTTGCTGCCGCAATGGAAAGAGCATTTGTTTATTCACAGTACATTCTAGAAATGTGGTTTATTCTTTTTATCAAAGAAAGAACAAGAAGGGAAGGCATATGTGAGAGAAGCAAGGGAGCAATTCTCAGGTACCTGAAGGAGATGGGCTTTGCACCCCCACCCCCAGTAACACCTCATAAGTGGACTGGGGGCCCCTTCCCATACCAGCCCAGGGGGCAGTAGCAGTGAGTTGTGTGCCAATAGCAGTCCACACAGCCACAGTGGAGGGATGCCACCTCTCAGTTCCAGCAGCTGCAGAAGAAGAGGCTGGATAGTTAGGACATGCGACTGACTGCTGCAGCAACCCAGTCCCTCTCCAGCTGCACAGATCTGGTTTGAAGGCACCTTCAGTCATTCATACCAGGATGGAGTCTGTCAAAGGTGTTGCAGGACCTCACAAAACCACCTTTTAAGCCCTTGGCCCCAGTGGACTTACATCTTCTGCCTCGGAAGGTGGCCTTTCTGGTGGCAATTACACTGGCTAGATGGGTGAATGAACTCTGCGCATTGATCTGCTGTTTCTTACACTTCATAGGCACGAACTGGTCCTTCAGCCCCATTACTGCTATTCCTTCCAAAGGTCACGACACCATTCCATCTTAACTAGGACACTGCTCTGCCAGAGTTCTTAGATGCTCGCAGGGTGCTAGCATTCTGTTGGTCTCATACTGAGTCCCTGCACTGGTCCCAAAGACTCTTCGTTGCTTACAGCATATGATCTGGGGTGAGCCAGTTAGCTCTCAGTGGCTTGCCAAGTTGGTCATCAAAACCATTACAGTTTTGATGACCACCTATCAGCTCTCTGGACTGCAGCTTCTCGAGTGACTCAGAGCACACTCTAGCAGAGGGGTGGCAATGTCAACAGCACTGGCATCCCACTGCAGGACCTCTGCAGAGCAGGGATATGGTCTACTCCATCAACCTTCATCCAGCACAACCAGCTCATTATCTGCACCAGGCAGGATTGCTACTGTGCTGACAACACTGGCCTGCCTCTATCTCAAGAATCATAGAAGGCCTGCATAGAATTCGTGTCCTGCACTGGGTGCTAGTGCAGGACTCGAAGTTACACCATCTCATTCAGATGACTGTCCAGTCGCTTTTTGAATGGTCTGTAATGAGGGAGAGCCCACATCTTCCTCAGGTAATAAATTCCACTGCTCTCAAGGTATGGATCTCTCTAAGTCCATATGGGTTTTTAGTTACCCATATGTATGATGCACAGAGACCACAAAGAAGAAAGTAATCATTCTTCAAGTGATCATCTGTGCATTCACACAGCCAGCTCACTGACTCTATTTTGGTGTTGATAGCTTTGGTACCATAGCTTTCCTTCTGGTCTATATCTTGATGGTACAGGTCAGCCATTCACTGCCCTCCCTCCAGTTCTGAGGCCACAATGTTGGTCTCAAGAGAACTGGGGGAAATGGCAGGAGCGTCTTCTAGATGCACCAGGTGGAGGGAGGGGAGGGGAGGGGCTCCCACCAGAATGAGTCTAGCTTGGAAAACCTCCTGACAACAGGCCCCATGCAGATGCAGACCTCATATATGTGAACTATCAGATGACCACTCAAAGCATGATTGCCTTACTTTTTTGTGTTGTGGTTGTTTTAATCAAACAGGTATTTTTCAAAGAATTGGAAGAACAAATTAAGCAAAAGCCCCAACATTCTGTTGCTTTGACTGAAAATGGGTGATTGTGTTGTGTTGCATTGTTACCAGATAAGTATGTGGTGTTTCTAGGTTACTGATGATGGTGCGGACCCAAATCCATATGTGAAGACATACCTGCTTCCAGACATACATAAAACATCTAAACGGAAAACCAAAATATCAAGAAAAACTAGAAATCCAACATTCAATGAAATGGTAAGCTTGAAATAACAAGCTGTGCTAATAGCTTTTTAAAACAAATTAATATCGTGCAGACCTAATAGGTGGAACAATATGAAGGGGGTGATAAAAGAGGCCTTCCACCTTCCTTGCTATTGCTCACAGTTGCACCGGGGTTGGAGTAGAAACAGCTGCAGCTCAACTCTGCAGTACAGTATGTGGACACTCCTTCCCATGGTGTATAGAAGTGCTTGGAGCAAGAAATTGAGTCAGGAGACTTATTTCTTGCAATACTCATCCTCAGTTGCTTTCTCATCCTTGGGCTGCTTCATGCTGTTAAGAGAAGTCTACCACGTTTGGGGTATTTAATTACGGTCAAGGAAGTGCTTCTCCGTCTGACCGCACACTCTTTTCTATTAAAATTATTTTAAATCTTGGAAGGTCTGTAACATGCTTGCAAGAAGCTGTATGCTGTTGTTTATATTGACAGTCAGGAAGGGGAGCTTCTTCTAAAATATCTGCCTGGATTTTTCCTGAAAATTTGTGTTTATGAGAATTATTGAGGTGTTCCAATGCATAAATACATTAAATCAGAACTAGCTTTGAGTTATTCAGAGAAGCTGGGTATACAACTGAATGTTCCAGTTAATAATGTACTATGAGATGGGCTGCTCTGAGGGCTGGGTGAATCTTTAAAGTAATACTCTACATTATCATTTTCAAATTAACTATGTAAAATTGCACTTGAGCCCTGCCTTACCCGCCAGCACCAGGGACGCTGTCCTGGCCATATGCTTAGTTTGAAGTCTCCCCTCCTCTGCTTCGCACTCCCTGCTTGTTTTGACTGTGCCTGACTTATACCTTCTCCATCCATTCTTCCATCAGGTCCTCGCTCCTTAATCTGCCGCCTCAACTGTTTCCTTTTTCCCCACCACCATTAGGCTACTTGACCATTATTCCCTGTGCCACCTTTTCAGGACTCAAGCTGCTTGCTTGCCCAATTCCCTGACCAGCAGCATGTAACTTCCTGTCTTCCTGTCACTACAGCCTGACCTTGCATTTTCCTCTGAGAAACAGCACAGTTAGTGAAACATGTCAAATGCATTCAGTCCAAGTAGTAGAGTATTTGTGAACATCCTTGACAACATAGGAAATCATCTGGTAGCCAGCTACATCATTTTTAGCCTAATGTAGATTAATATATAAGCAGGTTGATGGAAAAATATAGAAATGTTGAGGTCTACAACCATTAACTGAAACATGACAATTGGGTGACCTTATTTTATAGGTTAATCTGGACTTGTATATAAATATTCACAGTCTGCTGTTGTATTGATAAAGAATGAAAAGTGAATTAGCATTAACACTTGCTAATCTTACAAACTATAACAGATCCTGTGTATGCATGAGAAAGCATTGACCTGTCCCATTGGCACTGGCCCTTTCTGCCTTTCATATTATTGCCCCTTTCATTTAGAAAATGAATAAAATCTTCTGCACATGTTGATGAGCCTATTTCAGTGTAAATAAAAAGCTGTGTTGCTGGCATTTACCCCATTCCTATGTTGCACTGAATGAATAAGGATCCTGATGCTGCTGCTTTTAAAACTGCTTGGATTGCTATAAGCATATTGCCAATGAGACATACAGATATTTAAAGCCATACATAAGCATTCAAATACCACATACCTATTTTCTGTAAGGTAGACTGGATGAGAGCCAGGCCTCAGATATCCATCCGGCAGATGATAAAACATATAGGAATCCTTAGATCTGTTCTTCTCATCAGCATCTGGTTGGGAGTGAGGTATTTGCTTGCTTGTCTGTCTGGGGGGGGGGGGTGGGGGGGGCAGCTCACATACCCCTATATATTTTAAACCCCACACATTTTAAACTCTTTTACAGCTTGTATACAGTGGATATAGCAAAGAGACACTCAAGCAAAGGGAGCTTCAGCTTAGCGTACTCAGTGCTGAATCGCTACGTGAGAACTTCTTTCTGGGCGGTGTCACTCTTTCCTTAAAGGATTTTAACTTGAACAAGGAAACTGTCAATTGGTACCGACTTGCTGCTGTACCATATTTGTGAAGCTGATACAGAAGTGAAAAGAAGAACAGAATTGAATGATCTCAACTCCACTTGCATTTGGTCACTACTTGAAAATAACTCTCACGCTTTAGTATAAGATACTACAATTCAGCAGATTACAGTTGGCACAACCTTCACAAATTTTAAACAGGACTTTTTCTGGCAAACCATATCAGCTTATGCTTTTACTGTAGTAATCTAAGCATCAATGTAAATTTATTGTATAAATTTAGTATGTGGATAATGAAGTTCTAAGTCTTGACTAGTTGTTCCAATTTAAAGCTGAGGTGTGTTAATCAATTCAGTCACGTTTGAATTGCTTGGCTGTTGATACATTGCAAGCTTGCTTTAGGCTTCTGCTGTCATGAGATGCAGCACCATGTTAAAACAAAATTATTAAGGTAAAATAACTGCCCAAGCTGTCAAAGGGGAGATTGAACAGATAGTTGGGAAAACTCCAGTCACATTGAGCCTTTGGACTCCTTGGACCTCTTTGAGGTTATTATCAAAATGAGTGCCATGAAGTTATACATAATGGTGCCTTATTTTATCACTCAACTGCTTCTTATACCTCATTTCTGATATTTAAAAACATTTAGCAATGCTAAAGGTTAACATACTTTTTAAAATCTAGTCCTTTTAAAAACTATTGCTTGCACATGTGGCTCTATATAAATTATTTAACATTTTCTTCCTTGTATGTATTCTGCTTTCTTAGGTCAAATTCAAATGACAGCAGACGTCTGAATCCTTCTCTATTTTGACTCTTTATGTTTGTCCTTAATAACTTGATGAACTGAAAATATTATACGGATGCATATTCGGGTAGTTTTATGCCATGGTTTGCTATAAGTACTTCTATTTCCAGAATGTAGATATCTATTTAGGAGAAATTTGGGGTTCAGTTTCCAGTTCACATGTAAGGCACACATAAGTTGCCATACGTGTAAGTTCCGTGTGACTGAAATATTTACATCAAATAGCAGAAGGCCACAGTATCAGCTGTTGGCTGAGAATAAGTTGCACTAAAAATGGTGAATTTCACTAAGTGACAGCTTGAGCTAGGTATAATTTCCATAATAATTAAGAGAACAGTCTATTAAGCATTCTATTCATTTCAATGAAATTTTGATTTGCCCTTAGAGACATGAGTAGAAGATAGCTTTCCTCCACCTTTTAATGGCTTCTGCCCTAAATTCTATTTTTATTCTAGTTTTGTACATTTGTGATACTGACTGTAAATGCAATATAGTAACTCCAGTTTGAAACACTAGCTAATGTAGGGAAAATGTTTAAATTGCACAATAATTTTAATGCTGAAGCCCAAATACTTTTGAATAAACATGACAGGGATACAGTCTCTGAACCGTCTATGACAATGAGGTTAAAGCAAAACAATGCATTGTTAAATGAGATTATGGTAGATAATGACAATCTTTATTACTGGAAAACTAAACTAAACTATGATCTAATTTATTTCCCCTAAAATATAGTTAAGTCCCTGGTTTCAAATGCAGTATAACAAAGTGTAAGTGAAAAAATGAACATAAATGTTTGGTGCCTAAAACATTAATGGTCCAATTATACAAATAACCTTGGAATACTTCTCAGTGTTAAAACTGCATAGTGTTTAACAGAAGCTATTTGGCATTTTAAAAAGCACCTAGGTTATATTTGCTATAGTAAGTTCAGTATGCAAGAAATAACCTATATAGTAAATAGAATAAACTAACTAGATTGTATTTCCTGCTCACTTGATGTTTTTTGAGATGCATTCCATTCAGCAGAACCAGCATTCACTCACAGGAAAGCTGACTACTGTTTTTGTGAAATGGTCCATTAAAGTAACTGCAAGCAATATGTACTGCTTTTTTGCAGTCTGTTACTACAGCACACTAAGTTACAGCACAAAACTAGAAATTTAAAAGATGCTTTTGATAGCGGTGATTTGCAACTGCAATTTTTGGCTGGTCATTGGTTAGAATGCGCTGCACCTTAAGGTAGCATTTGCCAGTATCCTTCATGGTTCATACCTGTGCCTTTGCTCACTTTCACCACCTTTCAAAATAAAATGCACATTAGGAATTTTCAGATAAATTCTTTAAAAACATATTCAATAAAATAACAACAGGTGCAACATTAATTTTGCATCTGTTTTGAATTATTTATAGCAATGTGATATATAAACTTTAACTGTACACATTCAAAAGTATGTATTAAAGCTGACATAAAAGGGGAGGAGGGAATTATTAGGATAAATTAAACACTTTACTAATACATATTTTTAAAGTAGTCTCCTGGCATTTTTATACTTTATTAATCAAAATTTTATGCATCACACATACAGACTGCAGCTAGAAATAAATTTGTGTCTGTCTACTTATATTTTGACATTTTGAGGAATACATCTTGCTGTAAGAAAAATGACCACATTTTCTGTACTAAGTAACCTGGCTATGACTTTGCACTGAAGTTTTTAATATTACTGCCTTTTTATGATCTACACATATGTATGAAAGCATGAATGATCTTTGATATTTCTCTATTTTTAAAATTAAAGTGGTGTAGAAATCTTAGTATCTTGCCTTAAACCTGACTTCTCCTTCTTGGATACAATACAGTGCAACTTTCAAACTGAGGAGTTTCTTTTTCTGATATCTTCAAAATATGGCCACAGTCTAATGCAGGAGTATGTATGTTTAAATCTATTGATATCAGTGGGCTTACATCTGGATTAGATTGTAACCAATGGTGTGGTACATGGAGGAAAATATTCAGGCCATATTACAGCATTTTCATATCCATAGGAATTTAATTTTCCTTCTGTGCTTTGTACTCTCAGACTGACTAAAACATGGCAGAGGTTTATAGATAATGGAAAGCATTGGGAGCAAATGTAGACATTTGCCTTTAATTATTTATCTGAAAGAACCAAATACTTCAGTTATATTACACTGATAGCTAATAAAGATGTACAGTATTTCTATCAATATCCTAACCCATAATGTATGGGTTAAATGTGACTCCATAACTGTCCTACAATTACATTAAACACTACTCTGGAATAAAGAATGTGTTGCCTCTTTTTCTCAAAATGCATCACTGTGAAAGGCAAAAAAAGTCAGTTATAGAAGTAAAACAGGCTTTAGTCAAATCTATTGCCCATTGGTTTAAAACATGTTAATTTTTCTTATCCTTCACTCTTAACACATATACACATACTTTTATGTGTATTTTGAATGCACAACTTGCAGACATTGTACATTATTGAATTGGTTGTGCAGCTCAAACTCTTTGAAGGAGTGAACCATCCGGAAAATACTTTGCTATAGTACACAATTCCTTTGCAATCACTGGTTTTTCTTGTCTTTCAAGACTAGAAAGTGTTGATGGATTATGCTCTTTTGGCTTTGTTATTTGCAGCTAAAATCAAGCACTGGAAAGTAACTGTTACTGCCAAGTTAGTTGGAAAAAATACTTTGTAGTCAATATTATGGGGGAAGTAGACATAGAAACATAGAAAACAGAGCGAGTCAGAAGGGGTCTCCCGGGCCATCTAGTCTGACCTCCGGCACCAGCTGGCTCCGCTCACGACATGCCCACCATGTGGACGTCCAGCCTATCCTTGAACACCTGCACCAATGGGACCTCAATGACCTCTCGTGGACATTTTTGCACAAACAGAAGAGCCAAATGAATTGTTATCCATCACTCCATTCTTCATTCAGTACTCCACACACTCTTGGTCAAATTGTTTAATAGAGATTCAAATAGCCCTACCTGCAAATCTGCCATGAGGACAACTTTATTTTATTTATTTATTTAAAACATTTCTATGCCGCCCCATTTGCCGAAGCCTCGGGGCGGCTCACAACATAAAATATAATACATTAAAAATATAAAACAAATTAACAATATAAAATAAGTCACCCTGGCCATCTGGATGCTGCTTTTCTATCACAAGCATTGACTAGATAGGGATGTAAGCCATGCCATACATGAAACTGGAAACCCTTTCCGTGCAGCAACCAACTCTGGGAGCCTTTTTCCTGAAAAACGGTAATTCTGTGGCATTTTCTGACATCTGGATATAGTGTACAGCTCTGCTGATTAATCAACTTGAATACTTGAGCTTAATTCTAAACGTTAGAATTCTTCTATAAATTAGGTGTGACTGTACAGTCCAACTTGTATGATGCAATTCTCCTGCCTCATAGTTTGTCAGCCTAAGTATACAGCTTCTATGGAATAGTTCTCTTACAGCTGTTACAATGGCCAACAATCTTCAGATGTTCACAATACTATTGTAGAAAATTCACTAAGCAGAAGTAGTATTGTTAAGTAGCACTAAGATCCTCTCGACTGCAAGCACCCTAAACATCAAAAGACTGTATGCAACTTTTCTCGGATGGTGCATCCATCCTTTCCATGTATGCTTGGAAGGAAATCCCATTGTCAATAAGGGTTTCTTTCAAGCTGAAACAGAAATGTGGCCTCAATATTTTCTGTTATTGTAAGAAAGATGGAAGAATCAATGGGAAAAGAGGATCCAATGTTATTTCTTTAATAGGTTTATACACTATTTTACTGCTTTAGTATATTGTTTGCAGCTATCAAAGCTCTCAGATTGGTTTACAACAAAAAATTGAAAATACTGTCTGAAATCTTTGTTTCTCCTTCCTCTCCCCCATAGAAGTCTGAGGTGAAGCGACTGAGCAATAAAAGAGAAGTGGCCCTGGTGTGACAGCATTAAATGTCACTTAGCACGCCCATTCTTCAGCAGAGAAGTTTTGCCAATTGCTCCCTAGTACTGTTGCTCAACACCCGTTTTGCACAATTAGATAAACATCTTCAATCTTCCCCAAGTGAGTACTGTTCACACATCTTGAACAACAGCTTGCAGCATCTTTTAGCCGATATTGCTAGGAGTTTTAACCCAACACAGCTCGAGGGCACCAGGTTGAGGAAGGCTGAATCGTCGGCAGGCGGATAGCTGATCCATTGCTCAGTATTCATTACTTGAAGCTGCTGGTGGGCAAAACGAATCCTAATTAAGCCAAATGTGCAGCATCAAAAAGCTGGCTGTCTCTTAGCGACGCTGAGAAAAGTTCCACCAGCACCAAAGCATGACTGTCTGAGACAACCAGCAGCCTTCAGCTTCGATGTTTTTCTGGGAACTGCATTTTTTGGCGGCTAGTCTATTTATCTATTTAAAATATACCGTTCAATAGGCAGCGGCTCTCTGAAACGGTTCACAAAGCCAGGAAATGATTTGTCTACAAAGGAGCCTTACCAGTAATTTTTGACATTTTTGGGTTTCCCTGAAAGGGATTTTGTTGAATAAAAAGATCGGAGGAAGAAAACTGAGGCTAATCATGGAAAAAGCAACGACTTGCATTTATTTAGCAAGCAACGTGTTATTCCTTCCAGCATTATTCCTCCTCGCAATGCAGAAATAAGGACAAACGTTCGTGCTCGTTTTATTCAAACGCAGGTCTTACATCGTGCAGGACAGCGGAAGTGCTTCGAGATGGTTCTTGAACTCCGTGCACATACAAAAAGAGTGCAGGGTCTCCAAGAAGGAGAGGGCTGAGCAAGGAAAAACAGCGACAACCCTGTAGGGTACGTCGGTGCAACCCGTTCCGCCCGCCCGCACGCCCGTCCCCCCCGTGCGGTTTCAGGTCGCTCTGTTTAGGGCTTCAGCGTTCTCTTGGAGCGCGATCCCACACAGGTTTTGATAGGGAAAAAAATCCTAAACTTCTTGGCCAGCAAACGAGCAAACTACACCCACATCAGCCGCTGCTGCCGCCGCCGCCTGAACGGAATACGTGAACCGAGCCTCTCCAACAAAACCGGAAGTGAGGTCTGACAGCGGCGGGGCGGACTCGCCAGTGTCGCGAGAACGCGTTGACGTCACTTCCGCCGCGGGGAAGGCTTGATCTGTGCGGCCGCCTCGCCGTGCTCTTTCTTTGTGCCGCCATCATGGGTCGTATGCACGCTCCCGGGTGAGGACGCCGCCGGGGAGAGGGCTGCGCGGGCGCCGGGGGAGGGGAGCGGGGCGGGCTGGGGCGGAGATGGGCTTCGGACACCGCAGCTCGGTGGGCCGTCGCTGGGGCCGCCTTGTGGGTTCGCGCCGGCTCCCGCGGCTTCTTCCGCACGGGCCACGCTGAGCGGCGGGGTCGGGGCCGAGGCGGGAGAGCCTTTCCTCGGGTTGGCGTGGCCGGTTTCTGACTGCCTAATCCAGCCTGGCCGTGGGGGTGGGGGGGCACGCATCGCTCGCTTCTTCAGTTCTAGGCCGGCTGCCGTCCTTCAAAACCTCGAAGCGCCTCATGAGGACGGCAGCAGCCGAACCGGGGAAGGCCGCAGGCCGGGAGAGTGGTAGAACAACGTTGTAGGGACGGGGCTGGCTTTCTGCCACTCTTTCCTCGCTCATTTGGAGGTATTTTATGTCGATGCATCTGGTTTTACCTTTTGTGTGGCTGTGATTTCACTGAGGTACAGCCATGTAGGAGATGTGGTGGGAGCAAACATGGTGGCCTCCCTAAAGTGCTGTTTTGGCAAGGTGGTGTGTATTCTTTATTATTATATTAGCTGCATGCTTACCACTTTTTAAAGCATTTGCATTCTTTATTTTTCTCGTTTAACAGAAAGGGCTTGTCCCAGTCGGCCTTGCCTTATAGGCGAAGTGTTCCTACAGTAAGTATTAAGTTGCTTGTAGCTATGTCTTAAATTAAAATGGGAATCGCAAAATAGAGCTGGAAGGAAGCAATAAGGCTGGCTATTGGGTCTGACTGCTCAGTGCAAGACTCCCAAAGTTACAGTGGACAGCCATCTGTTAGAGATACTGTACTGCTAACTTTGAATCTCCATTTTGTTGCTATCTTCTAGGGTTTTAGCTATCACTCTGTATTTTGTGTCACCTGCAAATTTAATAAACATACCTGGCAGCTGTTCACCAGATTGCATCCTGACTTTTATTTTTTTTGCAATCTTGGAGTGGGGAAGCAAAGTGCATCCATTTCATCTGTAGTCTCCTTAGTGCCATCCTTGCAGTTGTGCATTACCTGCCTGTATTCTTCCTTTGTAGTCTAGCCTTCCTTCCACTTCCTTTTTGTTAGTTTGTTTTTATGCCATCTCTCTTTGTGAAGTCCCATTGTGTTCAAATGGGAAAATAAAAGCAGCTGAGTGGGTGATTTTGTAATATTACAAAGTTTTGAGTTTTACTTTATAGAAACAAACCTTGTCTGCTGCATTGTTTTTAATGCAGTTGTCTCTTAAGCAATAATGTCACCTAGTAGATATAAAGACCTGCTATAGAATTACAAAACATTCCACTTCTGTTTTTCTTTTGGCAAACAAGCAAACATTTCAATGGATGTACCTGAAGATGTATCAGAGGAAGGAGTTTTGATTCTTCTTAGAACAGTTGCTTTGAGCATTTTCTTCAGGTGTGCTGATGTGGTTTCAGATATCAAATGTTCTTATTTGATGCTTATAGTAATCTGATCTTTTGGGTCAACAATGTGTATCAACAATTGTAATCTATGTATGAACTAATCTGACTCAAAATTGAATTCTAACAGTGGCTGAAACTTACATCTGATGATGTCAAAGAACAGATCTACAAACTGGCAAAGAAGGGCCTGACTCCCTCACAGATTGGTATGTACATTTTAAATTGGTATACCCAAGCAAAATGGGCAATTGAAGTAAAGGGGTGCATTTTGATGGGTGGGTAAGAGGCGTGTAGAAGGCCAGGATATGAGCTATCCCAAGGCTTCTGCTTCTTTCTGTTTGAAATGCTGGTGCTAAATGGGTAAAAAAGCCAGTCCAGCAAAATGCAGGGCAGAGGGATGGAAAGGCAGAAATTGTATCAGCAACCTTGCATAGAATGCTCATAACACTCAGGGCTTATGATCCTCAAAGGAGCATCATAAGGTATTCTAAAAGTATTGGAGTAAAAGGTATTTTTGTTTCATTGATACACTCTTGCAGTTTTATTAGTATAGCCTTACTGTAACTTATTAAATGGGTATACAGGCAAGCCAATTCTACCTTCTATGGCTTAG